ATGGAGGCAAACCAGCAGGATGCTGTGGCTGTTGGAGTTGCGCAACGTTAGGAGGTTGCTGCTGAGAAGTGTTCATCATCCCCCCTCCAGCTCCTCCAGCCACTTGCTGAAACTGATGGAGATGGTGTTGCTGAGGCATGGCACCACCAAGTTGTTGAACCTGCTGCTGCTGACCTGGTGCTCCTATTCCTAAGCCAACTCCCTGTTGCTGTGTAAGTGCAGGCATGTTGCCCTGAGTGGGTGTCTGCGGTGTAGGAGGCTGTGTCCCCACTGATGTAGGGGTGCCAGGACCAGTCGATCCATTGTTTGCTCCGGGAGAGGGCAGGCCATTGCCTCCAGGACCTCCTCCAGGTGCAGGCTGTCCCACCCTCTGCATGCTGGCCATGCGCCTCCTGAGCATTTGAGCTTGCTGAAGCCTGTGCTGCAGCTGCTGTTGGCGAAGCTTGTGCTTGATGTTTAGGCAGAACGGGACCGGGCACTTGTTCTCCTGACAGTGCTTTGCGTGATAGCAACAGAGCGCAATAAGCTGCTTGCAGATAGGGCAACCACCATTGGTTTTTCTCTTGCAACCCTTAGTGTGTTGGACAACACGTTTCATCTTCTGGCAAGACGGCAGGGAACAGTTTGCATTTCGACATTGGCATGCATGGACCAGGGACTGGATGCAGCGCTGGATGCTGAGACGACGAGAGTCTCCTGGGCTTTGAGTGGTGGCCGCGGCCTGGTTGCTGTTTTCATCATCCAAACCAAGACCAAGCTTCTCCATCTTGTGCTCGTGGGTCTTGGTGTTGTAACATGTGATGCAGAGGTCATAATCCTGTACGGGAGAAAACACAACAAAAGAAATGAGCTCATAAAAGAAAAGTACAGATTACAAAATCCCACGCTACTACAAATGACCCCCAACTCACCTCACAGACAGTACAGTGGAAACGTGTCTCTACATGGTGCTTGCACTCGTTACAGGTGTAGACAAAGCGGTCCTGGCTTTGGTTATGCAACTCCACCAACATGCACATTGAGCTCCACTTGGACCTCCGTAAGGAGCTGAACTCTAGGTGTTTGTCTCTGGCCAATGTCAGGAAGGCATCACGGCCATCCATGAGGTCACAGGCCATCAGGGGATCTGGGTCCACAATGGGTGGCAGGGCGTTTGCCATGGGGCCTGCCATCAGTCGAATCACAAAGAATACCTACAGCAGAGATAAGTTGTTTCTGAGTTTATTCATCTTTGTGCCAAAACCTGTGTGAAAAAAAAAGGAAATAATAATTTACAGTTGAATTTTACTCTGCTTTTACCTCTTTGTGTTTCTCCATGGTGGCATAGAGTTTCTGAGAAAGGTCATTGGAGACATTAGGCATCCCTGGTTTTTTCTTATTGGCTCTGCTCAGGCTGCTCTTGTTCTTACTGGTCTTCTTATTGTTTTTCTTCTTTGCGTTTTTACTGTCCCCCTTGGAGTCCTGCAAAAGGCAGGAGAGGATCAGTGACCACATCTAACTGGCACTCACAATACAATACAATTCACATGTACAAACTACAACTATGTTAATGAGCTGTCAATCTCACATCAATGCTCTCGTTGGATGTGCTGTTCTCCTCCCTTTTTCTCTCCTCCTCCTCTTGCTCCAGCTCCTTGATGCTCTCCTCCAACACATTAGGCCAAAAGTCACCCTCAAAGTAAGGCAGCTCCTTAGCACTGGTCAAACGGTCCTCAGTTGCCTGCTTGAAGATGTCCTTTACATCCACAATATCAAAAGAGTTAGTGTTTGTTGTGAAGAACTAAAAGGACTCGATCTGAAGAAAGATTCTTTACCTTTTGGTCGTGTACTATCCGTTCGGCCACGGCTTTGTCTAACATCTTCTTGTACCACTCCTGAAGGCGTTTCGGCTTCGGGATCTTCTGATCAGCTGGGTGACAATGGAAGATGTAGTCGTCACCTTCACTTGGAGGACAGGCCCAAATGTGGCCAGTGGTGTAGCTGAAGGAAAGAGATGATGAACAAATTAGGGAGCGATAAAATTTAAAAGATGATAACAGTCTAAGTACAAAAAAGGACACTGGGTGCCTGAACTCACCCCAGTTTCTTTACATATTCCAAGTATCCTATTAGGATTTCATGGTAAACGGCTGTTCTCAGACTTCTAGGTCGGAAGAAATGTACACTGTCCAGGTAGGAGATGTAGACTCGCCTGGTTGAAAAAGAGAAAGAACTAATGGTAACATCTGACTTCAATAATTACTGGTTGTTAAAAACTAAAACTGTTCTCACCTCTGGTTGGGCTGAGGACAGTCAGATCCGTACTCCTGAACGTGCATACCAAAGAAGCAAACGTCTGCTCCATCAATGTCCTCAAATGCAAACAGAGCTTTAGTCCTGTATGGAAACGACTCCGACATCTCTCCACTGTCCACAAATCTGGGAGCAAAGAAAAGAGGAAATATCAGACCAAGTGTATTACAATTAAAATAACAGGTAATAGTTTTCTCATCATGTTTTATTCAAGTAAGCAACTTAAAAGTTTTAAAATCTTTTACCTGGACTTCATGCCTGGCTTCACCTCCACAACTTTATCAGAGACATGGACTACACGAATGAAGACCTCTCCAGACTCTGGGTGGCTCTGGCGCTTTAGGAAGTCATTCACTTTTGTTTCTAAGAAACAGCCTAACTTTGTCTGGGGCAGCCCTGGATGTAAATAATGTCAAAAACAACATGTTAGATTATCACATTTAATAACACCAGAAAGGTCAAGGACAGAATGTACTGAATCATTAGTAAGTAAAAGTAAAAAAAAAAGAAAAAAAAAAGGCTGGAAGCAGTGACAATTACTTTTTGCTGAATACTTGTTTTCTTTCCGTGTTTTATTCGTCTTCTTTAAGCAGCCGTCACATACAAAACTGAGCAAAAAAAAAAAGGAAAAAAGGAAACAAATTATTGTACATCGTAAAGTATATATAAACAATATTTTGAACGAAAAGCCTAATTACATCGACGATAGGTTCTTACCCAGATGGCCAGATCGTGTCATTATGAAGGACACATATCTGATGCATTCTACGGCCACAGTCTAAACATTCAAGAAGCCTGAAGGAGGAGGCACAAAGATATGCAAATTAAATATTTTAATTACACACCCTTTTTGCAATGTAAACATTGTACATGACATTAGCAGTCAGTTGACTTACAGTTCAGGGTCCAGTGTGTCATTTTTCTTCTTCTCAAACTGGTCTTTGTTAATTGATCTGAAAATACAAAAAGGTTGGAACATCATTTATGGCTCATTTATGGGCAACGTTTTTCTGCAGGAGCTCAGCCCTTAGTCAAAAGAAGTTTTACTTGTACTTCTTGATAGAAAGGTAGAACTTACGTCTGTGGCTGCGAGGGGTCGTCACCCAGGGAAACCGTCTCTCCCTGTATCTCGTTGAAACACTTCTCGCAGAAGTGGTACCTGTTAGCAATAAGCCCAAATTTTGGTGAACTACACCATTCCCCACAGCACAGTCAAAAACAGACAGCGCATGGGAGGGCAGTCACCGAACGGTACAGGACATGGGCAAGGCAGGGCGCAAAAGCAGCACAGCAAGCAGGAAGTGGGGGCACGGGACAGCAGGAAGTCATCATCGCAACAGCAGGTCACATGATTTAAAACCCGTGAGGGTGAAAGGAGTGAGGGGACAGGTTTGGAGGTGCACATGTAAGCAAGCCAATGTTGACATCACAGCCATTGGAGGCGTGGGTGTAAACAGACATGTCATACAGGGCAGGGACAAGACGAGACAAACATCCGAGACAACATAGAGCAGAGAATCAAGGCAAAGCACAAATTAGCAATTTGGACATGACAGGATGACAAACAACTACTACAACAACAATCGTTAATAGCAAACAGAGCAGGAGCTACAACTGGAGGTAGGGATTGGAGCAGTGATGCTGTAGACAGTGGACAAATGTGAACAAAGACAACAGCACTTAGCTGTTATTACAAGCAGTTCATTTTAAAGTTTGGCCTTTCACATCACAGTTTTATTTTTTATGGATTTTAATGTCCAATAAGTGCAAACATGTTGGCTTTTCTAATGCAATAGTCTGTAATTGAAATGGTCCTAATAAACAAATCAAACCGTGGGAGTAAACAGAGGCCAGACTGTTAAAATGCCAGAACCACAGGAGCCACATTTTGAGGAAAAATTCAGAATGAGGCGAAGCTATGTTCTGCGGTGTGCAAACATCATGAGCAACAGCTGCATTTTCTCATAGAACTACAATAAATGTTCATTATTGTTATCCTTTAATGGCAGCAAAGTGGGCAGGGTTAAACCAGGGTTTTAGCAGTCCCAAACCACACAAGCTACAAACATTCTTGTTATAAAAAAAAATATATAGCTGCAGTTAAATAATTTAGTCTGCCGAGGTGTCTCCTTAACCCTTTATGAGGAAACAACACTAATTACCTTCCCCTGCCCCCCTTTACCTGTTCTGGTAGCTGAAGTAAGCAGCATCTCGAGGAATAGTGCACAGCTGCTTCCCATAGCAGCACAAAGTTTGAGGAGAAAACTCCAACTGATGAAGAGAAACGAGACAAAAAGAAATAAATGTAACATTTGAAGAAATAATAATTAAAGACGGCTTAAGGCTAAAAATAAATATGTGAACAGGCTCTAGCTATGTGTACATTTATATATATATATTTTTTTTAAAAGCGGATAAAATAGCTAATCCCTAAAACGAATTCTAAGTAAAAAAAGAAAAATCAAGTCTACATAATTCACAAGGTTCCTTAAAAAATGTGATACGCAAATATGATAGAAAGAAAAATATTCAAGTTGTTTTGGCTGCGACACGACAACATCCACAGTGCAGCACTAAAAAATGTATCTAATCGAATAAAAGTTTTGGTGAAAAGTGATCAAGCTGCTCTTTGTTAGGTCCGATTGTCAGACAGCCTCTGGTAATAAGAACCAATCATGTCTGTTGTTTGTCTGCAAAACTAAAAATAGCAAAGTCTAATGAGAGCTGAAATGTGATACAGCCATGGCATGGCCTGGGCCTAAAATAGCCACCACCGCACACTGCTGCTTCCATTTTCAGATGTGAATGAGGGGAGTTAATGTCTCCATTCCTGCGTCATTCTCAATCACGTTTGACGGATTTTGAGGAAATGTCACTGTTACATGATGTACATTAAAAGAACACAGTTTTACCTGTTGACTCATAGACTCAATCACCAAGACACTTTTATTATATAAACTTTATAAACACAGTACCAGATTTAACACATCCAGGTTGTTGTTTAAATTTCAATTTAAGTGTGTTTTACTCACACTTGCTGCAGACAGATGTGTGTAAATTGTCTAACAGAGTGAAGACAAACGTCATAGATCAAATTCAAAACATAACATTTGAAAAGACCAAAATGACATCAGCATATTTAATGTTTGTTTTATTTAGAACGTATGTACTGATATGTCGCCATTATTTTGTTGGCAATGGTTAAACTCATTTTTGTCAATTCTATACCTTGATCTTTAGCTTGCTCTCATCTTTTAATCTTAAAAAAAAGCTGAAAACTAATTTTTATACTATCTCAGGGTGCAGAGTTTACTTATCATTTCTGTCATTCTTGAAAATTAAAGAGAAATTAAAATCCAAATTATTGGACCAACATTCTTTAGTCTCAATATTTTTTCCTGCAATGGCCAATCTTTCAGCTATAGAGCAGCACATTTTTTAATGTTGAAATGAATAAACATCAAAGCTTTGCTAGTGAAGCATGAAACTCACCTTCCTGCCACAGCAGTAGCCCAGGCTTTGCATCACGGGATCAATCTCTTGCTCAAAAACCTCAGCCAGTTTAGAGCAGTACTTGTACACTCGGGACGTTTTACGGTTGTATAGCCATGCGTTGTTAAACATGAGCCAGATGTCATCCACGTACTGCCAAGGATCCTGGTACTGACCTGCAGCCAAACACAGAGCATTAGGTGATGGAGTTCCACTGTGATAACTATGCTAAGAAACCTCCTGTGAAGGACTGACCAGTGTCCAACTTCCGCTTGATTGTTGATAAGTCCATGGGGTTCTTTACTATGTCAAAGTAGTCCTGCCAGATGACAATGAATGTTAGAAAATGTGATTTATACCAACACTTTGATAAGACAGAGGTTGACTAACAGATACCCTCAAAGGTTACTTACAGGTATGCACAGCAGTTGTGGGTCAACAGGCATTCTGAAGGGCAGGGACTCTGGATCTTGTCTATAGAGAGATTCCAGAGTCGGCATCAGAGCCTGGCGAAGCTCCTCTGGCTTGAAAACTGAAGAAGTAGAACAGAAAATATATAAGAAAAGTTTTTTTTTTTTTTTTTTCAAATCCAGCGTTTGTTTTTGATGACAAGTCAAGTCCTACTTACTCTTCTTTTTTGATGGAGCCTGTGGTGTAGAAGCCTCCGATGTCTCCTCCTCTTGTTTCACCTCCTTTTTTATTTCTGGTCTCTTTTCTTCCGTCTTTATGCCAGTCGGCAGTGTCGTTGATGCCGTATCCATAGGATCACCTTTGCCTCCTTCACCAGCACACTCCTCCTTTTTTAGTTCTTGTTTCACAGGCCTTTCCTCCATTTTGATGTTGCTAAGCTTCCCTCCTTTGGAGCCAGTGTCGCTCTCCTCTTCCTCCTCCTCCTCTTCCTCATCCTGCTGCTTGACCTCCATCTTGGGCTCAAGGTTGGTAGCAGAGTTGTCCAACTGTGGTTGTTGTGAGGAGGTGTCCACGCTGCTGACAGATGCTGGGGTCATGGCCTGACTGTCTGCTGTGAAGGAACCCTTTTGAGACAACTAGAAAAAAGAGGAAGAAACAAAATCAGTTGTATGTAAAGAGTGAAGATGACAAGAAGATATTTGTTTTGTTTTTTTTTCCAGTTATGATAAAATTGTTTGATGTTTTGGCTACTATTTTTAGTTAGCTTTAATCAATTTTTTATGTTCCTTATGAAACTAAAAAAACATTTGCTCTTCTCAAAAGGGCAGAGTTATTGTCCTATAAAAAACTGTAAAAAAAACAAAAACAAACAAGTAAAGACATGTAGTATTAGCTCTGTGTAGCTGTTTTTACATCATGCTAATGGCTGTCATATGCTAATGCACATCGAGCAGACAAGGATTTCTGGTAAGTGCATAGACGCCTCAGTGGGAAAACTTGCAACATTTATCTGCAAATCTATCTGTTTGAATTAAATTATAAGCCATTAGAAATTGAGCCATTATTGACAGAAAAGTGATCAGCAAATTATTTTAATGTACACCCCGACTTTAACCCACTTTGAATTGCTAAATTCAATTTCTGAGGGACTCAGAGAAACAAATTGGTTCTAATGCTGGTGGCTCCAAAATAAACACTGTTCCAATGTTCAATCATTAAATTAAAAATTGTTGCACCTAGGATGACATGGTAAGTAATGTTAAACAACACTGACCGGAGTGCGTGGCAGCTGAGGGCCATGGGGCGTTGAGCTGGAGGTCAGTCCAGGGTGAGACGGAGTGGTGGAACCTGTAGGTCCCATATGCTGCTGCTGCTGGAGGGACTTGTTGGAGCCAGGGCCCTGGCTAAGCTGGTTCTGCTGTGATGCTGGAGGCGGAGCCAGCTGTGATGCATTAGGGGTGTGTGGCTGTGGAGTTTGTGACCCAGCCAACCTGGGGGGAGTTTGGTGAGGGGTGGGTGACCGGCTGTGGGCCGGAGATGGTGAGCTGCGCATGGCTCCCAGATGAGGGATGGAGTTTGGTTGGTGATTTGTATTAGTAGGAGTCATTGAGGAAGGAGGAGCTCCGGGAGTTGTGTTTGCACCTACACTCTGAGGACCCCCTGATCCTAATGAGGGGACACCACTGTGACTGCCAGCAGAACCTTGCTGCGCTAGAGGGCTAGCAACAGGAAGAGAAGGAGGAGTTCCAATCTGTGTCTGGAAGCAGGCAGGAATTTGAATGAATACAAGTTCAGTAAAATACATTATACAACAGTGTGATATTATTCAATATTCATAATATACTGCACCGTGAACTAAAGTGCAGTATTTTTGTCTTTTATCTATAACCACCCTTTACCATTACCTGAGCCATTCGTGCTACTGCACCAGGCTGGCCAATACTAGGTTGTGTAGTACCAAGTCCTGGTCCTCCTGAGCCAGGAAACTGTCCCTGGGGCATATACTGGTTCGGCATCTGGTTTACATTGGGCTGTCCCATTCTGGATCCAACCATTCCCATCTATGGATGTTGGAAGAACATAACAATTTTTAAAGGCTCTTTTTAAATAGATAAAGTAGCATTACATATGTAAGGATTTAAAAAAAAAACACCAGTAGGATTTTGTACACTACTGTCAGGTATACTGACCTGGTTCCCAGTTGGTCCCATTGGTAGTGGGGATGACCTCTGGCACATCATCATGGACTGATTCAAGCCTAATAAAGACAAAGACTCTTACAACTCAACTGAAACATCCCCACAAAAGAATCACTTTTGTCATTTGGTTTGACAGTGTTTTCAAGCTGGAGGCCATTCCTCACACAACCCTGGGACAAGGTGGAAGCTAAGATATAAATTGTGTTTATTTCTGTATGTTGTTGTAAGGTTGCTATGGTGAAAACACTAGGAATGTTTCAACTATGGGGAAAAGGTGTATTAATATTCAACAACCACAGACATAAATATGAAAAGAATGCTTTTTCTTTCACCTGGGCCCTGCGTCCTGTTGACCATCTGATTTGGTCCGGGTGGTCTCACCGGAGCTGGGTCAGAAAGAGGTCCATCTATAAGAGCAGAAAGAAGAAATCATATCATTGTACCAGTAAAGAAGGCAGAGGTAGAGGAGAAGCAATCATTTTTACTGAGCAAGTATGGGAAATGGACACACACTAGAATGTTTTCATACCACAAATCCAGCCTTTTAGGCAAGTAATAGAGGACAGCTAAAATATTACAAAGTCACACTGGTACCAAGTCACTACACTCACTCGGGGACATTCCAGGAGGGGGCTGACCATTGCCTCCAGGACTGCCACCTAAACCCTGCTTTTGGAGCCGGGTTTTCCTCTTCTCCTCCAGCTCCTTCTGGATCTTATAGATCTTCTCTGCTAAGAGGTGGTAGTACTCAACCTGTCAAAGAAGAAGGGAACACATAACAGATGTTGTTAAAACAAATTACATTTTAGAAATGAGAAAATATTGATTTTACATACAACAGATTCTAAATATTGAGGAAACACTTTAGACTTTTAAATTGTATCCCTACACTAGAATGTAATGTCTCCATGCCACTGCCAAATAATAATTGCATAGGCGTTAACATATTGACTTACTCTACTGGTGGCTAGCTCGTACATGTCTCCCTCCACTTTTCTAGCGTAGGCCACCAGGTTCTCCATCCGTCGATCTTTGAGGGCGGCAGGATCTGGGGTCGGAAAAATGGCCTGGACACTGGACATGAGAAGAAGCCAGAAAGAAAATGTACATAAATAGGTTTAAATTACTGACACCGTCAAATAAAATTACAAAATACATCTGTGTTAAAACCTCACCTGAAAACACATTTATAATAAAGAAAGAATCGTCTTCTTTCAACTGCACTAAACCATTCATTTAACACTGTGTGTTCCTGAGGACTAGGAACAAAAAGGTCTTCATTTAGTCTTTATCAATACTATAACTTTGAAAGCACAAAGGATGCAGTACCATCAGTAACTAACTGTGAACTAAAGATATACCCCAGGTCCATGTTTGGAACAGAAAAATACATTAATAATTACATCTAACCAAAGAGGGACTAGTAGTTTAATATACTGTTGGACAATAGTAGAGGTTCTCCAAGGAGCACTCGGCTAGACACCCACTCACTCCAATTTAATAATACGCAGCTTCGTCTGCTAGATCTGCATTGGGACATTATTTATTTATCACACCAAGTGTGTCTTTGCAATTCCAACACAGGCACAATTATGCATTTAATGTTAAATATTACCAAAATGTACTACTCTTCTTGAGTACTTACAGTTTGTGTACCAAGTGGTTCCTTAGGTCCTGTGTAATATCTTCCGGCCAGTTTTCCATCATTTCTGTGACTAAGGGAGGAGCACCTGCTGGCAAGGAGCCAACACCACCACCATCGTTCATCAGACTTGGAGAAACGAACAGTTACAGTTTTAATGATTACCATCTAAGAAAAAAAGAGAAATGTACCTTGGCTTCACAAATAGTTACAGAACATCAGCCCTACCTGTGGTTGTTCGCATTCAGGTGCATCAATGTGTCCTGCAGCAAGTTGACTTGTTGGTTTTGAGGCGTGGCGCCTACTCCTCCATTGACTCTCATTGCATTTGCGCCTATAGAAAAGGTTTTCTGTAAGCCAAAGGTCTTTAAAGCTCCTGAGAAAAAACATTTTCAGGAGAGTGAACTCTCCCAAAATAAAACCTCTCTCACCCATTGGATTCAAAGGCCTCACCCCAGCCTGGCCTTGGAGGCCTTGGTTGGGCATATTTGGCTGGTTCGTCTGGGCTGGGGTCTGATTGCCCTGGTACGTGAGGCCAAGAGCTGCGTAGCCCCTTTCGATGGAACTAGGGTCAATCTGGCTCGGTGGGTTGAGGTTGGGAGTGCTTGGTGGTCCGCCAGTAACAGGTCCAAGAGTACTGCTCAGACTTGCAGCAGCACCACTGAGCAGTGCTGTAGTGACAAGAGGAAGACTATGATTAATATGACATAATATCAATTTGACAAATTTTGACATATTTTAAGAAATATTCATTAAAAAAAATGGAGAAGAAATCAGACAAAATATACCAGTGGTATATGGTGTGCAGTTGTGTGCTGTCACAATGACAAAAAATTCACCTTCACTTTCACCTATTATTTACATAAAGGTTTGAATCATAAATAATGTTAACTTGCTAAACATTAATATGCATGCATAATAGTACGTATTTTCTAACACAACACACTAAACACCACAGGAGTTAAAGAAAAACAGTTTGGTCAGATACAGACACTCACACTGCGGGTTCCTCTTGTCCCCAGCATTCTTCAGCGGCAGGCAGACAGGACAGTCGTGTCGTGTGCAGTTCTTCCAGTGAGAGATGATCTGCCTCGATGATGCACAGTGAGCGACTACAGATAAAAGGCAGGAAAGATGGAAAACAAGGTGTTGGATGATGGGAGGAATAAAAAAAAAGGAATAGGTAGGAGTAGGAATTTAGCTTATTTGATTCAGAAATCCACTCCACAGTTTTAGTGGTCTCAATTCAACTCAATATTCAGGAATGTTGATTAATCTTGATCATAATTGAATCAAAGCTACCTGTGATTAATCAGACTTTGTTTCAATCAGGATTGTTTGGTAGTCCAAATAATTATAGAACATCTGACATTATTAAATGTGTTTCTGTTTAATAACAGCAACAATGTCTAGGAATGTGATGTGTGCCATTTTTATTATTCTTTCATAAAGAATGCAACAAAAGTTGCACAAAACACTCGTTCTTTATACCGTCGCCCATTTTAAATTAACTAACTTAATTAGGGCTGTGCCATTCTTGGCAGCCCAAATCCAGGCCTGTGTGAAACGGAACTGGCCTCAGTGTAATGAGTCTGTCTGTCTGGGTTTCCCAAGGTTTCAAAAAACATCAAAGCAGTAAGACATTGTGTTGTTTGCTGGAGCACACAGCGCCCCCTCTACTCACCGTGACAGGACTTTCCAGCCTGGCAGTGAGTCATGTGGTTAAGAACGTTCTTCATGGTGCGACAGTGGGGAAGGTTGCACTGCCGAACTTCACCGTTGGCCTGTTCTCTCCGCTGGCACTTGTGAGCATGTAGCAGGAGGACCAGTTGCTGTTGGATTAGCTTGCGTTTCTCTGGATCTGCGGTGGGTGGTGCGCCAGCGGTGGCTGATGCTGCTGAAACCTGCGCACCAGGGCCAACTAGACCTGCCTGAGCGTTGGGCACCATCCCAGTGGCACCTCCTACGGGGACACCAGAGGGACCGCCCACACCAGTTTGTGCCTGCTGAGTGTCCTGCAGGAAAAGGAGGGGATACGGTCAGATATGGATGAACATAGAGGAGTTTGAAGCTCGAGGTTATACTCTGTAGGCCAGTATTAGTTACGATATGCATACGTATAATGGTACGTGTACTTACAACAAACTGTTTGGTACAGGAAATTTGACACAAACACACATGTCCCCAACAAAATATTTGGTACCGTACCATTTCCCCCCAATACTTGAAAGATCTGCTTCCTACCATTGCAGCCATTCCTTGCATGGGTTGGTTTTTCTTGTCCACATTAAACTGGGGCAGCCTGTTGGGCATGGGGCTCTTGATCTGAAGTTGAGGGCCCAGCCCTGTGCCTCCCAGACCTTGATTTCCCTGCCCAGTATATGGGCCACCAAAGGGTGCTCCTGGGTTTCCCATCATCCCCATCTGTCAAAATCAGAAAGCATAAATGATAATGAGATACAAACTGCATCTCCAGACAGTTAGGACAGACAGACAAAAATCAATGGTTCACTTCCACTGGGTTTATTACATTTTTTTCCTCTTTGTTAAAAATTCTGTGTGTGTGATGGTGGGGAGCTGTTTAGCACATTTAGGATTACCTACGTGTGCTGAAGAGCCTATTTTTTGCCTAATTGTTAACTGTATTGTATAATTCTTACCTTTTCTGTTCTTACACGAAGCTAAATTAAACCAAGTTTTTAATTTTAATAAATTGCTCCATTCTTCATCTGACTTTTTTAATAACTTGTGTAAAATTCTGAAAGTTTTGTTTACGAGAATCCCGAGGATTAAATAATGAAACGTGAATGATTATAAAAAGAACAGATTAAAAAAATGTCCTACCTTGTTCATGGCTCCAGGTTGCTGACCTCTGATCCCCACCTGGCCCCCAGCTCCCTGCTGCTGCAGAGTTTCTGCCAACAGGTTGCTGTTGCCACCCATCCCCTGATTTCCAAAACCCATCCTAGGCGATCCGTTCATCACTTGGTTTCCCATCATTCCAGGCTGCTGCTGTCCATTATTACCCTTTTGCTGCACTCCCATCATGGCTCTGTTCATGCATCTCTGTTCACCCATCATGCCAGCTGAAGTGTTCTGTTGCTGCTGCATAATGGAAGCCTGCTGTTGAGGGGAGAGGTGCTGCTGCTGCTGTGCCTGACCCATCATTTGTTGAGGTCCAGGGCCAGGGGACGCCTTCATGTTCACCATGTGCTGTCCCATGGCCGTGGGGCCTCCTGGGCTGCCCATAGTTCCTTGGTGCCCCTGCTGGTTTGAGCTGGGTGCCCCCGAACGCAAAAGCTCAGACAGCTGTTTGTGCTTGGCCACGGCATCCTGTCCTCCACCAACACCTCCGGGACCCCCTCCAGGGCCAAGTCCAAGACCCATTCCGCCTGTACCTCCAGGGCCAAGCCCTGCAGGACCCCCTCCCAGAGCTGTGTGAAGCTGGCTGAGATCTCCACCATTTACCAGACCTGTTTCATTAGAAGTGATGAGCTCATCTGGGAGGTCTTGCTCCAACTCTAACAATGAGCCATAATCTGAAAAAAAATGATGTACAAAATTTAGAAGAACAGCATAAAAAATAAAGACAAAACCAAAAAGGGTGAGGAGAGGACAACGCATTGAGTTGTTATAATCCTTTATTTTTCAGCATGACTGAATAAAAATGCAATTGCAGCTTTGACATTAGAAATACAGGCTGATAGAAGCTGTTCATCAGCCTACAATCGGTTTTCTTCCATTAGAAATTAATGACATGCCAGTGAGCACAACAGAAATTAAATCCAGAAGAAAGCAGATTGGTAAGAGTTTGTCTGCAGAGCATGACCAAACGTCAGACCACTGGTGGAAATGGACTCACACAAACCATTGCCCTTAAAGTGATTTAACATTTTGCAGCAAATCATTCATAAAGACAAGGTATTACATCGACTAGTCTAAAGCGGCACATACAGATTTGTTGTAAGTACTCATAAGTTAAAATGATTTGCTCAAACACATCCTTTAATGACTCTGAATTCTGCTGTTTTATGTGCTTGATTCCAGTTAGTGACTAAAGTGATGAAACTGATATGACTACTTTGTCCCTAGTTGAGGAATATGCCAGTGGTTGGACATGGTGCTCTATGCCCCTAAAGTGCTGCACAAAATAAATCAGAATATATTTTGGCAGTATCCATAAATCCATCATATAATTTGGTTGCAATGGCTCTAATACTGGTTGTAAAAGAACTTAATGTTGAAGATGTGCGCCCTACAAGTCCATCCTCAGTGCTTTTCCCAACAAGTGATCACTTGACCTATGGGCAAGATATTACAGATGCATTCATAGTGTCCTTCTGTAGAAGAGGAAGGAGCTTTATGTTTGTAAACAGAATGCAAGAAGCTTAGTTTTTTAAAACCTTACATTAACTTATAATAATGATAACATTTTAGTGACTTTCTAGTTGAAGTTATTTCCCTGTTATTAGTGTAATATACCTTTACATACATTTAATTTGGGGCTTTTTTTCATAATGCACATTAAACTGCATGCGTATGCTTTAACTGACAGTCTGTTATGATCCATCAGGTAAGAAAAGCAAAAGCAAAGTTAAGTTAAATCGAACACAAGTATGGTTGTAGAGGTACATAACTGTTTGTTACACAATTAGCTTTCATTCAGGTTAGTGATAAAATATGTGCAAGAATATTAGTGTGTGACTGCAGTGGCAGACTGAAACAACATGGTAGGCCAGTGTGCCACCCATAAAACTTGGTTGCAAAGGCTTGGTTGATAAATGCAACTGAATGGTTTGTAGTTTACAGCCTAATGAGATAGAATGCAGCCCAAGGACTTAGCTGCTGGTTGTAGTAGTTTGGTTGGCAGTTCACGAGTTGAAATTTGCCCATGACTATTTCGCGATTGCACCAGCATTTGGTGTGTGATTGTCACTATTTGCTTTGTGAATATGACAGTAGTTGGACATGGCGCTGTCCATGCTTTACAGCTCTCAGGCCACTCACAATTCCAGCTGCTGCACGCCATCTACAAACACACGCACACACATAACGACAATGGCAATTTGATCTTAACAATCACTAGGACCTGTGGGCCTAAATTTAGATCCCCAGCTTTGCTAAGCAAAATCGACAAACTCTGCTTTGGCGAAAACTGATATTATGGTGACACTATGGTTTGTCACGAAAAAGCTCCATGTTATGATGGGGCAAAACAACTGTTTTACACCTAAGAGCTTCAACAGTCGACTAACGTGATGTGTGCATCTGGAGCTGAGTGTTTAACTGGCATACGGGGGGCATAGAAAAGAAAACTTATCGTAAAGTTGTTCTGGGTCAATGTCATTTAGGCCAAATCAGCCACAGGGTATAAGAAGAGACAGTTTCGGGAGCCGCATTCAAGCTCTCTCGCTTACTATTAAGCTCGGAAGCTAACGAGGCTAACTCCGGCTCTTAGCACCACTGCTAACGCTGCACGTACACACTGGCTGCTAACTAGCTAACGCATTAGCACGCTACGACAAAAACACAACAGTAATCCCGCTTCTTCTCCGCTACCACGAGCGGCACCAAAGAGCCAAAAGGGGCTAAAGTGAACCAATAACACTGTAATAAGCGATATAAGTGAAAAAAACTTACCATTTCCATCGCTGGCGGAGGCGGAAAGTGCCGGAGAGGAGAGTTTAGGCCTCTTGGCTGAAGGCGGGCCAGAGTCCAGAACGTTCTCGGCCATATTTTTTTCGAATAAAAATGTATAAAGTATCCACAGTTGCGGACGTTTTTCACGCCCTATAGGAGCTCATGGCTTCACGATATCCAATATTGCGACTTTTCCCCCTCCTTTTGGGGGGACTAAGAGGGGGAAAGTCCCGTGTAGCGATCACGCCTGTTTCCCTGGGTTCGCCTCTCGATTTCAGCCTCGGCGTAGATCAAACCCCCTCCCTCCCTCCTCCGATTTTTGTTCTTTATAAATTTCTGCCAGCGGAGGAGGTGGTGGTGAAAGAGGAGGAGGTGGAGAAGGAGCAGAGGGTCGGTGAAAGTAAAAAGGGGGAGAAACGCACTCACGCACTCACATCAGCAGCGGGTCCCCTCTGAAATCACACCGACTGTGAGGATGGGAGTGAACCGTCCCCGGTGTTTCTCCTACGGCTGCATCCGTCATTTCAGCCTCCTTTTCCAATCGGAGTCTGGAGGAGGTTAATGTCGGGCAGGACGGGCTGGTTTGCCTGTGAAGTGATGGGGTTGTAGTGGTCGGAAGAGTCACTTTGGTGAAGAAGACGCAAAATAAAATAACAACAATAATAATAGTGTTCACTTTAATAACATTAACATACTTGGGGCTGCTTTTAATTTGGTTATTTCTGGGTAATCCGCCCAGGTACAGACAACAGATTGTTTTATTAATATTGGATACGTTTATATTTCAAATAGAAATATTTTAACGGCATAATTAATTTATAGTTGCTAATAATACATCTTCAGAATAAATGGCAGAATTGAAGTGTTATAAGGTCCCAGCTCTTTACTTTTAGATAGAATTTTTCAAATCATTAACACCTTTCAATTCTCTTTGAGTCAGATTACATAAAGACTCATTGGAAAAGATGGAATAGACTTCTCTTTTTTTTTTGAAGAAATTTTAGTTTATTTGTCACAGATTCTCTGCTCACAGAGGTTAAGCTGAGTTTACAACACAAATAGCTAAAAGTAGACGAACAACACAGATTTACGAAAAAATATGAATTGGTCCTCGATTCAGAGCAGTACTCTTCTATAACAAGTTTAAGACTGTTATAGAACATAGTGTCCACCACATATTATCTTATATGAAGAACATTAGTATCTGCTCAAATGGAAATGGACCTTACCTTCTGTGGTCACTGTAAACACTTTCCCCCCACACTTTAACTCCAACAAACAGTACTGACTGAACAAAAGTGCAAATTTTACATTTTATTCATCTTCATTTTTGCTACATTTGAGGGTTTTTTTATTACTTATTAAACCATTGATGAGTCTGCCAACAAATCACAGGTGGACAGATAATACTGTGCTGCTCCTCATAGTGACATGTCCATCAGAGTGCAGGAGGAGATCTGAGATTCAAACAAATGTAAATCGGACGGATTTAAGAAAACATAAACTGAACTTATTCTCGCTTTCCAACATTTAGTTAAAAAATAAAACTGTTTTCTATTTAAATTAAAAAAAACTCAAATGCCACAAGACCATTTACCAACAAAATTAATGGTAGTCAATTAGGTTGTTTTAAAATGTTACTGTAAGACCTGTAATTCATTTGTGTACGTAAAAACAGTTGTGTGGCCCGAACCCAGGCCAGGACAAGTTTACTCTGTGGGCAGCGTCGTTAGTATTTGTTGTCTGTATTTGGAGCAGAGACAACACCGCTGCACTGGGACAAGTTTCTGCAACTTTTAGCAGATAAATACAAATGTGTAGGCTGCAGTACTGGAAATAGGACACAGCTACGTAGCTAGTTAGCTAACACCGACACCAAAGCTGTGGTGCTGACCATACAAAATCACACACACATGCAGAGAAAGTAGACTCCACGCAGGCTACAGTAAATGTAGCCAAGTAACTGGACCGTTCTTCTTTACTGCCGTGTATTGACCAGAACTCTCTCTTCTCTGATTTCCCAGAAAACAGAGGAATGTCCTGCCTTTTTATTCAAAGACTTCACATTGACCTCATCTTACATCCTTCATCCTTCACCTTACACCAACCTGACTATAGTTTACAACATCTGGCAAACTCAAAGCCTTTCCGTCCTTCTGCGACCTTCTCACAGCCCACCAAAGGTCAGACCTCCAGGCCCCAGCCTCTGAAGAAACCCCTGGATGCTCTGGACTCTCTGAAAGTCACTGTCAGGGAGTTGAGGGTGACGTCTGTGACTGTTACATCTCCTGGACTGATGACTGGGCTCCAAGAGTCCTCTAATACAGTGACCTCATCTGGTGTGATCGTGGAACACCATCTGTCTGTCTTTTCTGGTCCAAAAAGAAAAGCAAAGATGGGAAAAGAAACAGATGTCGAGTTTTCAGGGATTTCTACTTCCAGGCACCAAAACTAGTCCTGTGACTCACCAGTAACGTCGCCATCTGTAGTCTCTGTTTCCACCACCACTGTCTCCTCCTCTTCCTCCACGTGATCTTCCTCTTCCTCTTCCTCTTCCTCTTCCTCTTCCTCTTCCTCTTCCTCGTTCCAGTCCTCCTGTGATGGACTTGGAGGGTCAGAGTCGAGGTATTTGATCAGAGATGTCCTGGATTTCTCATCCTGATGTCGTAAGTCGTATCTGGAGGAACCGTAGGATTCATCTTCCTCATCCTCCTCCGAGACCTGTGACTGAGACTGTGAGAGACGCAGGTGAGGAGGTTTCTCTGGTGCCTTGTGAGCGCTGCGGAGATCCATAGTGTAGACGGTGTCCTGAGGAGCCAAACAAAGAGGAGGAGAAACTCTAGTGATTTAAAAACAACAGATGTGAACTGATCCAGGAACAGGACAAGTCAAGTGGAAATCTCAGACTTACATATTAATCTATTCTGATCAATGGTTCACCTTTAGAGCTTATGTTGAGAGGGCCCCCTGTGGAATATTGCATCTATACATAATAATTGACCTGTGAACTTTACCTGCAGCAGCAACCTTTTTCCTTTCGCTCCTTTCCTCCTGTAGCCCAGAGCTCTGTCTCTCTGTTCCCTAGAAAACCAAGAACACCATCACTGTAAGCTCATTAGAGCCCCCCAGTGGTACCTCCGTTTTTAAAATTAATTTCAACAGGATAGAATGGGCTTTCAAGGAAATTGTACTTAAATGGAATGACTTTATGAATTAATGTAAATTTGCCACGTTTCAGGTAATATTAAGATATTTGTCCCAAGTTGATTTGGCCAGTAGTCCATCAAATAGTCAGTTACACACTGAGTGAAAACTTACTTTTCTTCATATGCCTGAACCAAACGCTGGTCTAGAATGTGTTCCTCTGGTTCCCAGGTGCTGTACCTGCAGAACCAAAAAACAACATAACAACTCACTTTTATTTATTACTTCTGTTTATAATTACACTACAGGTAAGTTATTGTTGGGAATTGCTGTATTGATTACTAATGCTGCTGTGCCTTACACATAGCACACACACATATATATATATTTTTTTTTTTACTTTAATGTGTGGTGATGACTGTACCCTTTCTTCCAATGTTGTTATGATACTTTAGGTAAACTATGGCCACAAGTTTAGCAATTTGTTATAGTTTGTGCTAACGTTTAGCCATGTCTTCTTAGCTTAACCACACAATCCTGCTAGATTTTCAGTGAACATTTCCTTTTTCATTTCAGCATCATTATTTTTTTGTTTTATTTTGGTTTTGGCTGCAGTGTCGCTCAAATTTTTATATGGTCAATACTTTTTATTATTGCCTTAAAAATGCAGACACACTACTGTATGAATATATTTAGAAATTAATGAGTAAACACACATACTTCGGAGGCCATCCTTTCCATTTGAGCAGATACTCCACATTCCCCTAAGGAGACATGAAGATGATTAGCAGCATCTATGAACACATTCACTTTCACTGAGAGTTAACACTGTTTTATGTCTCAGAAATGAAAATATATAGTACATACTAAAATGCATAATTTTATTGCTATGCCTTAAGATGATTGTTGTAAAATAACAGTGACATCAAGACTGTCTGGTTTCGAGTATATTTGTTAATATGGTTAGAAATGGGTTTATTAAAAAACACCATATGTTAGAATGTTATAAAATGACCAGTGACTACATACTATGGCAGGGGTGTCCACACTTTGTTTGCTTGGGAGCTACTTTTCAAATGACCAGTACAAAGTGACATTGATAACATTAAATATACCGTATATTTACTCATATGAACTGAATATACTTTATTTATACATATAATGTTGATTACATAGCTGTAGCTGTATGGCACTGTATGATTGAATATTGTTGCTAATTTAGTCCTAGAGATTTAATCTCTATCTTTAAAACACCCCCTCTACACCAAGCCCCCCACACCCTCAATAACACAATTTCTCACAAATATCATTTGTATGAAAAAATCATCAAAAACTTGTGATGTCAAACATTTACCATAAACTTGACTTTTGTGGGGGGGAAAATAGAAAACAACCTTTAAAATGCCTTTAAATGCAAGATTATGCCCTAAACTTTCCACCCAGATGAATAATTTATGATGGAAAGAATTTTCAAAAAGATCATATATCCCGTGATGTCAAAAAATCAAAACAGATTTAAATCTAGCTTCTTCTGCATTGTTTAAAATCAACTATTTATTTATTTTTTTGTACTATGGACCAGTGGGCCGGTATCAGCCGTCAATGCGGACCGGTGATATGGTAATATGAAGGATCATTACATTTTGTAAATAAAACATCTTTTAGACTTTATTCAGAGTATGAATCACACGTTATTTTAAAATATTACCAGATTATATTTTATTGAAAAAAGTAAATGGATATGCCTTGGCATTTTTTAAATGAAGTAAATTAGTGAAACATTTCTTTACTCTTGGAGGGAACTTGTTGATGGTCGCAGTTTCATATTTGAGCCACTGTAGACAACGTAGGCCGGAACTTGTTGACAAGAGTTCATCATAGAATGTGTCCCTTGCACTAGACTGCCCTTGTGGAAGATGAACAAAATAGAAATCTTTCGATAGAAGAACCCCAAATAAAAGAAATAATATAACGGTGAGAAATGGTAATACATACTGAAAAACACTTAACGCCTCAACCTTTAATTATTTCGCTACTATTTCAAATCTGTGTGTCTATAAGAGCTAATTTTGCTATCGCACAGACAAATGCTGCGTTTATATCTGTCATGACGATTGTCAAACACTTGTAGAGTGCTGTCGTTTGTACTCGTTTCAGTCAGAAGATGGCGACATTTTGTAGAGAAGCTTTTGGGCGGAACTTGTTAAATGTGTGAGCGGAGCAAAAATAGAACAACCGAGTTCATGTCCTTAAAAAATAACAATAAATAATAATAATAATACTGATTGAAAAAAGGTTACATTTCAACTTTAATAATTGTGATGTTGTCAGGGGCGCAGATGGGATTTCTTTAGTTGGTTGACCAAGCTACCAGCCTTATAATGCATCACAGAATACGTTTATGGCTTCAAATGTTGTGTTCTTAAAATATCATCATCAAATATCATCAAAATATCACGGGTAGGGGGTCATCCTGGGAATGGGGGGCTATATTGGTTGAATCTTTGTGTTGTAACTTTCTTGTATTGTACGTATTTGTTTCTGGAAATGCACAATAAAAAACAGTTTATCACAAAAATATCTTGAGATGTCAGAAATGGACAATATAAGACACTTTTTCATAACATTCGTTAAAAATTACCTAAAATGCATTAAATACCCTAAAATTGAAAATGGTATATAAAATGTGGTAGAAATGGAAAAAAAATAAAAACATATTTTGGTAAATCAAAAATTGACATCCTAAAAATACACTTGTTTGGAAATATTCCAAATATTTTCAAGTGCATTATTGCATTTATACGACAGGTACTGTTTTTTTTTCTTTTTTAAATGCACGCTGTATATGACGAAACATGTCACGTCACAGCAGGTGATTTTTTCGGGCTATGTTCAGCTTTCGGAAAACAAAACAAACCACCACGTGACAGGTGTCAGTAGAACAGCAGCACTGACAACACTTCTAGAAGTCGATATTCTTTAAACGTGCTGTGTATTTCAAAAGTTGAATCTATCAAAACTGCATTTAGACACGTGCAGTGCATTCACGTGTTCTTCAAAAATGTAAAGTAGTTCATCTGTTTTGAACGGCGACAAAACTACGTCACACCTACATCGTACCATTAAACGTCTTTTCTTACCTTTCTGACCCTCTTCTTTACGATCGACTCCACGGCGAACACCTGCTCACCGATAGCTGACAGCTCCATCACTCCGCTTCACTGAACCTCCTCCTTTTCTCCTCTCCTCCTGCTGCCCCTTCTAATGATCGCCGCCGATCACGGCGCAGCTCCCTCGAACTCCTTTTTCTCTCACATCTATCCAGAGGATACGCTGCTCCTCCTCCTCCCTCCCCCCCCCCCCCCTCCTCCCCCTCCAAATGATCGCCGCCGATCACGGCGCAGCTCCCTCGAACTCCTTTTTCTCTCACATCTATCCAGAGGATACGCTGCTCCTCCTCCTCCCTCCTCCTCCTGCTCCTGCTGGATGTTTCCCTGACCCTCCAGTGACTTCACAAAAATCTGCGACACTCATCTACGCACCAATATTCTTCGCGCGTGCGCCTCTCCGAGAACGCGCTCCCGACGTTTCGCCGCGCACCCGCAGCTGCTTCATCATCATCACATCCAGGGGCGGTTCAAAGAGGATAAAGGGAAGGGGTCACATTTTTGGGTGAGAGATTTGCTTGCGGTTTCGTATAGCAGTATCTAACGGAATCTTCTAAACTAAACCTGTCAAATGAGTAAAATACAGGTCACTTAATAGGAGGAAAAACCAACAGCATACAGAGGCACAGAATAAATCATTTAGGAAGAACACAATAAATACACACACTCCACAGCTTCTACATAAAGTGCCATTATGAGCTTTTTTATTTGTATGCAAAATTGAAATTAACAAAACAAAACCAGGAAAAATACAGTGAGAATCAGGTTTCTCTAAACAGGAGGAACTCTGTGGATTGTCATGGCAAAAAAAAAAAAAAGAATCTGAAAGCAAACCGTGAGACACTGGTGATGAAGTGATCAGTTCCAGAGATGCTGCATCATCACCATCATCACCATCATCATCCATGTAGATATTTCAAGTTCCACAGCCAGGATCAAAACCTTCCAAAATAAGACAGGGCTTGATGAAATAAGTCATGTGATCATCAGCATAAAAAAGATTCTCCTGCAATTATATGAAGATCTGAATAGCTTAAGGAAACAAAACAGCACTGATTGGTGGATCTGCATATGTAGTTGTATAAGGTAGTATATCATCCTCCTGGCAAGTGAATTCTTCCTCCTAATCTTTGAGCAACACGTAATAGAAATGTAGACAATTTATACTTCAATGTAAACGGGTTAAGGCCAACATCATAATCAACAAACAGCATTCTAGCAGAGTGGACATGGTTCAATCTGAGAACTGGAACAGCAGCTCCCTGTGTTTGCACAACAACCTCAGACCTCATACAAATCAAAGTCTGATTTTCCAGCCTGGAGATCCGAGGACTGAGCAGATGCCAGGTTTTTTAAACCTGATATTTCCTTACACTGCTCAGTAGTAGGCTGCTACACTTCCATTCATCAGTACTCAACAATTACAGCTGAGGTCCAGCTGACCTGCCGAACTAATAGAAAAAAAATCGGTATATAGCATTTATAAAACAATTTACCTAAATATACTATAAACAGTACCAGGAACTATGAGGGGTTTTTCAAAAAGGACCATTACTGCCTCAAAATAGTTCCGCCCACAAGACAGGATTATCAGCCAGTACTGAACTTCCTGAAGGGTCAAGATTTACCCCATTCTGGTTAAAAGGAACTAGGGCTGAGAACTCTGTGCTGCTTTTGACACATTCTAACCACTTTGGGAGATCCTGGTACTAAGGTTCTGGTACTGTTGTGTCTCATAATAATTCAGTAGCTCCATCAACTACCACTTCTCTCAGTCACACTGGCCTCTATCCACTGTTTTCTCCCCCTGACAACTTTCCATTTCTCCATCTGCAGGAACAACCGACAGCTGACTGTACAGGACTGACTCTGGGGGTGATGTCAATCTGACAGGTTCAACAGGAGAATTTCAGCAGCTGGATAAGAGAAAAGGGAGGGGTTTAGCTGAGTGATTGTGCATCAGGGGAGAAGAAAAGGAGAAAAAAAGTCAGAATATTCCTCTGGGGCGTGTCCTGCCTTAGTGTCTGTTTGACATTTCACAGCTGTCTGTTTGTTTTCCCTGTAACTGATTTTTTACTGTTACAGATTTTACTAGTTGGTGTATGTAACATTTTGTGTGCTGTGTCTCTCTACAAGACAAGATGATGAATGAAGAATTTGAATTGTAACGGTTGACTTGGAGTTAGAGTAACTCTGTTGGGTTTAGGGAAAAACTTTTATCCATCATGCCATGGCAGACACTAAACTGTAAAGGCAGTTTTTTTGTTGTTGGCATACGAGCTAAAAGGGTAGGTTTTAGATGATGACTCTTTAGCGTAAGACATCAGTGTAGCCATGGCTAGTTTGTGCTGACCTTTGCTTTTACAGATACGTGGTGACATCCTGATATGTAGCTAAGCTAAATGGTTCACCCAGACTGAGAAACACTTAGGAAACTTCAACCATTGAGCATTCCTGACTCAAATGTGCTGTTGTGCTTCCTCTTTGCCTCCATTAATGTTGACATAAACAAATATCCCTCTCTGTGTTAAACACAGCAACACCTAAGAGTCGCACACAACTGATCTTAAGCCCATCACATTTTGACCACAGCTGCTACAACATTTAGTGATATTTTAATACTTTTGTATAATGATAACGATATGTTTCTGTCACAGTAACATTTGAAGAACTTTTGCTCTGCAGTTCTGAAGCTTTTGATCATTTTTCCTCACAGTCCTTGACAGCTACAAAATAATTAAGATGTTGCTACTATAAAATGCTCCTTGTTATTATCAAAAAAGCAAGTTGACAAACTAGACGTAATGGAATTTTCAACCTCAGATTCCAAAACCAAAAAACAGCAACTTTTGATTTTTAAAAATAAATCCAGATCAGCACTGTGACACGTGATCAAAAGCTCCACGTCAACTGACAGGACTTGGTTTAAAATTTTCAATTTCTGCTAACTGTTCAATTATTAGGCTTCTTTTTTATAGTATGTTTTTCTTTAAAATGTTTTCTTTGACGACAACAAGCATTAATAAACACAAAAAGAATGGAATAGAGGGGGGAAAGTGCAGAAAAACCTCCACTAGAGGGAGTGCTCGACCTGTCTTTTGCATTGCTTTGTTGCCTGATGAAACTCTTGTGACGTCAGCGCAGCCTGTGCTCGGTGCTGGCACCGGGACTACACCAGAAAGTGTTGGAAAAGTGATGAAAGAACAAAGTTGGCAGCATGACTGAGTGACAATAGAGCAAGAGCAATGAGAGGGAATCACAATGTGGCAGATAGGGGGCGCACTTCCTGTTGAAACATGAAAACAAACAGAAACCACTGATGAAAAACAGACAGATTCACGTCTTTTCTTTTTCAAACCATAAGAAAATGGTAAAAAAAAATTAACAGATCAAATGACATTGAAAAATAGTCATTATATATAAAAAATGCCAGAAACAGAATGTTAACCAGTCATAAGTCTGGACCGTGTTGGAGTAAAGGACTGCGATTCTCCCTGTAAAGTGTTTGTTTCCTTCACTGCCGCTGCAGCTAACATCAGATAAGAGCTCAGCAAAGGCCGCTGTGTAAACACAGGCCAAAAGAAAAGGAGGAAAAAATTACATCTGTGCCACAAGTTTGGCGGTGCATGTTTTTCCTCTTTCCTCTCCTCCATCTCTGATTGGCCCCTCCCACCAGGTAAAGCTGCTATTGGCTGGTTGAACCCTGCTCAGCCGTCAGAGCGCCACGTCTGGCGGGCCTCCACCTCTTCTGAGACCACCAGCAGGAGTTCACAGTTCTTTCCTCGCAACTGATGACGCAGGAACTTCCTAAAGTTTGTGGTCAGACAAAAAAGTCAAGATTTATCAAGAAAAATCAGAAGTATTTAAATATTATTCTTGGCCAATGGCAGAGATAGCAACAATAGTGTAAAAAGTTGGTAAAGGACTATGTTTTGGGAGCTATCTTAGGTCACCCGTTTTATCACTTCACTGGAAAACTTTGTTCAACTGACAGCTAAATACAAACACCCTGATTATCGGGTACTTTAGGTCACAGCGAGGAGCAGGTTTGATCCTGCATCCACTCCTCAGTAACTTTAAACCTGTTGTTTCTGTATCTTTAGCAGGTTCTTATCTTTGTCCAGATTCTCCCTGATTTACTCAAACGTCCTACCAAAAGACCAACAGTCCCCGTGTTCTCATGGCCTTAAATCCACTCTGATATGGAGGAGTGAACAGAATACAAACCAGTCATCGATCAATTTGACATATGACAGACTTGAACAAGGACAGGTTTTTATAAGGCGAGCCTTTGCTTGAGTAACAAAATCAGTTTTGTCCTTATCTGAGAGTGAGTCACTCTTCAATACTCGTACTACTACTACTCAGTAATATTTGGCAAACACCAAACAATGGCCTTTTTTAGGTTGAATGTCAATGATTGGGGCACAAAAATCATCTGTCATTGTTTCATGTCAATGGCGCTCATAAAGAAAATAAGGAAGCGATGCAGATGCCTGATAACGGTCGTCATGGTGACCACACGTCCAGAAGACACAAACACACATTGGCTGCTAACCTGAGCTCCTCTGGGTCACCGATGACTTGTGGGCTGCGTAGCTTGGAGTCCAGGTTGTAGTAGACTCCGCCGACCTCTCTGACCCCAATCCAGTGTTGGCGTTTGAGCGGTAGCCTCAGCGGCCCCCAGCGCAGATTAGATGGCACGTTGAGAATGAAGCCTGTCACGTTAGACAGCTGGATGCTGGCCACGTCCCTGGGAAAGAAACGTCTGTGAGAAAACTGATGTTTTGATTCAGCAACGGTGTCCAAAGTAGGGCTCCAGGGCCAACCATGGCATATAAGGAGCAGTCAGACCTTCAGTGCTTTTATGTTAAATCAACATTTTTTATACATATATATATTCAGAACTGTGTTTATTTATTTCTTCATATATATATAATATATATAAAAATAAATAAATAAACACATATATGCATATAAGTGTTTATTTATTTATGTTCACGTGTGTTTATAAAGAATAAACTTATAAAATTGTGATTTGTGTTATTTCTGTCTGCAGATCAGAGCAGCAGCTCTGATTGTGTTTCCTGTTGTGTTGGTGGGGACAGAGGAAGAGGAGTACGGTTGGTCTGATAACATTACGGTTGCACTGATAAAACTTAAGTGTGATTTGTGTGTCAACAGAGATGTGAAACTACTGCTGATTGCTGACCAGACTGTCTACCAACTCCTCCAGTGATAGAACTGCTGACTGTCCGAGAGTCTGTCTAAGACCCTGATGATGAGGTCTGCAGTCCTACAAACCTACCCCTAACAACACAGTACCCGGGGCTCTAAGACGTTTGAAATATTCAGATGTTAAAGCAGTCTGTTTTGGTTTGGTTCAGTTTCTCTTCAGTAAAGCTTGTTAATAAATTTACTTTGTCCTAAATTGTACTTAAAACGTTGTCTGTTTGGTGTGAAAACAGCTGTCCTGTGTTTTTATCATTATTGTCGCTGAAAAAGAAAAGTAATAAAAATGCACTTATTTTTTTTACCCATTTTTTAGACCTGTAGGACAGTCTGTGGCCTGTTGGTTTAATGAAGAGGGTTAAAAAGAAAAAATGTTTTTGTTTTGTACTGTATAATAAAAATGGTTCATATCTTTTTTCTTTTTGTTAAATGAGGAGTTAAAGCACTTTGATGAACAATAAAAAAACAATAAAAATCAAATAAAAAACTTTGATCAAGAGCAAAATTGATTGTTTTCCCTCTTTCACCTGTATAAGACATGTTTGGCTCTGGTCTTATCTTTGTCTGCTTTGATTGGTCAGCTGGCCGCCATTTGTTGTTCTCGGTCAAACACTTGAAGTGTGTTGAAAACATCAGACATGACCATGGGGGTCTTTCTGACCACAATAGTAGCCTTGATAACAATGGTGTTGCTCCTGTTGTACCACTTTGATTCAAACAAGTCTTAAGGTCAAGCTCAGTATATGATCCCACTTTAAAAACACAGTAAAATGAATGCAGTTCAAACATACTGTAGTTACTACAAAAGAAAGTAAACATGCATATTTTTTTTAAATACCTTCTTTTATCCCACCACACTGCCTCAAACCCTCGGGTCTGCAGGGCCGCCATTATGACATTAACATCATAGTTCCCATTTCCCAGCATGCTCTTCTTATGAGGGGTCACCAGAGTGCTGGGAGAAAGCCTAGGAAGGAATTAGCATCGTATTAGGACTAGGACCAAGTAAGACAATCCAACCTATTTGGTCTGATGTGTATCTATTAATCCATCTATCTTCGACCAAAAACTGCCAGATTTTCACTTAACATAGAATTTAGCCAAGTGTTTCACTGTCACCAGCTCATGTACAACATGGTACAAGTACTCACCTCTGGTAAATCTCCTGTAAAGTGTCCCGGCTGAAGGCGGTCCCGTCCTGGAAGACGTTATTGAGAGCGTGCAGGGCACAGAGTTCCCTCCGCTGCTTCTCATGGTAAATGACTGGAGGAGTCAGAGAGGAGTGAGGAGGCGCAGATTGGGTGAGGGAGGAAGAGGAGGATGAAAGATCCTGCTGCTGCTGAGAGTCCCTGGGATCCCTGCACCTTCTCTCCTCTGCTCCCACCATCACCTCTCCTCCTCCACCCTCACCTCCAATTTTCTGCTTGCTGACCTTCCAGGGCATGCAGCCCAGCTCCTGAAGACCACCCCGTCCTTTTCCCTTCCACTCATCAGACAAATACAGTGCACTTCCCATCCCTGGTTGCTCACCTGCACCACCAAGGCCTCTGCGCCCTCCTCCTCCCTCTCCACCACTACCTCCACAACTACTACCGTCAGGACGCTACATCCACATCATGACGACCATTACCATAGCAACCTCTCAGCTGCTTGGAGGAGAGGAGGTTTTGCGTCTCGGTGTGGGGACGAGGAGGAGGTGGGGGTTGAGAGGTGTATGAGACCTGTGGCCGTTTGGCACAAATACACCTGCCCTTTGAAGGACAGCTGTCAAAAGGACAAGAGGGAGGTGAGGACAAACAGGAGGTGCAGACGGGTTTGGCCAGAAGAAAATTAAAGATACAAAGAAAAAGCAGCAGCACCAGTGGTGTCAACAATCTTTGTGTGTTTCCACTTCCTCCATCATCACAGCCTGTTGACGGTTCCTTCCATTCAGTCACCAGGACTATACAGCTCTGCACTTTTTTCCATCAGCTGACAGAAGACCATCAAGGCCCTTCTGTCACTGGAACAGACACCGCAGCTGCCACAGCAGCAGCAGCAGCAGCAGCAGCAGCAGCAGGATGCTGACCCTGAGGAAGAAACAACAACAAAGACAAGCTTTTCATTTTGGCCGTTCATCAATAACTCATTCAAACAAACAAACCAAAACACAGCCTCTCCACAGAGACACTCAAAATCAGAAAAGGTGACGTTGATTTATTGTTTTTACAATTCACTAGAGTACCACTTCACAAAGCCCTGCAGGGGGCACACACCACACATGACTATGACGATTTATTTCCAGTAAGATTAGAGAGTGAGAAGACACCATAATTAGTCTCTCACAGGCCACATTAAAATCATCTGATGGACCAGATTAAAATAGTTCTAAATCAGCACCTCTGTTGGTCATAATCAGCATCAATCCATATTTCCCACTAAAACAGCACTTTTTATTGATTATTTCTGTTTGGCTAAGAGCAAAGACAAAATTTAGGTTTTTTATTTAACATCTTTAGTCTAAAATTTTATTTTTTAAATATTGAGCTAGTGAAATCTTACCAGATTAATAAAACTAAATGGTCATTATTTATTGAACTTTTTTAAAGGATGCAGAGTAAAAATTAAAAACTAAAAGTTAGATAATTGCTTAAATCATTTTTAAATCACTTATGCATGAGTTATGGAAGAAGTGTCTTCATCTGCCCGTCTGCATTCAACCTGGAGCACTAGGTTGGACTTAACTGTGTCTGGGCAGACAGAGTTCACTGTGGAAAGCTTGCTCAACACACCACAGTGCTTCCTGGGCTAGGATTCAAACCAGCAATCCTCTGATCACAGGCCACTAGGCCCAGGCTGCCCATAAAAACACAACAGAGAGATCCTGAGGGTTTGGGGTTTTTTTTTTTTTGTTTTTTTTTTTTTGTTTTCTGTGATTTAAAGCTCCTGTTTTGCTCAACAAGATTTAAAGTACGAGCTTGTGTCCACAGTATTGGTTTTATGCCATTTTCAGAACTCAAAGGCAGAAAAACACAGACATCACAAATCTTTTAATAATAGAGATGATTGTTTGTGTGCACAGTTGTACAAAAATATTATTGCATTTGCAGTGGGTTCACTCATCCATCAGGACAGTGTGCCTTACCACTGTATCCTTTAGAATCCCTGACTCTCCAGCCTCTTAAGTAGAAACTATTTTGGGATAAAAATCTTTCATTACATATAGGGTCTGTGTGGTGAGATGTGTACAGTTCCCTAGACTGTCCCTGGTAAAAGTACCTATGGTTAAGTTGTGCCATTTGATTGTCAGGGAAATGCTCTTTGTTTCACCAAATGTTTTACTTTTTTTGCACACAACTAGTGGAAAACATTTTTTTTTTCAAATGTAACTTCTGAGATCATTATAGTATTTCTTCTTGTTGTTAATTGTAAACATGCGTTCCCAGTTTCCAATTAAAAGCCATGGTATTCTATATACAAACAAACAAGGGCTGTGGAATATTTTATAATAAAGGCTGACAGAAATGATCATCTCGGCATAGTACCAGACATTTGAAGTTATTGATAGTTAGCAGAGATTAGCACCACGACCTTCTATACAGCTTTTGTTGGTAAGAAGCCCTTAAGAAATAAGAAAAAAGAAAGAGGAGGAGGAAGAGGAGGTGAAGATGATGGTAAACATTAGCAGCAGCCTGGGCTGCATTAAAGAGGAAGCAGGCTGCTAGCTAAAAACATGACAGCAGCCCAGTCCAGCAGACACAGCCATACAGTGTTGTAACTGACCACAGATCCTGCCGTTAGAGACTAACCCCTAACACCTACTGCTGTCAATGAATCCCTGACTGTGACAGATGTACAGTATGAGGCGTTCACTAACCTGTGGCTGCTCTCCGTACGTGACCAAACACTTAACACTACGGCAATGTTGCTACTGGCTGCTACATTATAAATGTGGAAAACAGAACGGCTCCTAACTTCCTCTGTTGTCTAACAACACTCACCTTCTCGTCCACTTCCGGTGGTGAAACGTAGGTAAAGCTGAGCCTTAAAAACTCATCTTTTCTCAAACCCAGTTCACTCCTTTGTCTCTGACACTTTTCTCTCTCTCTCCCTATTTTCCTCCCTCCCTCTCGTTCTTTCGCTCTCTCTCTTTGGCACATGCGCAGTAGGGCTTCGTTAGGGCTCTACGTTGTCGTCACTGTTACGTCACAGAAGCAGTAGAAGCAGGAGTACCCAAAATCGCGTACTCCTCTTTTACGTAAGGTTTTTAATACTGGACAAAATCCATGCATCCATTATATAATACGTAAATTGTATTTATTTAGTTACGTAGTATTTGTTCGTTCTGTTTATTTATTTAATTGTAATATCTAAATTTTAACTAATTCATCTAAATTGTTTTATCGATTAAGGCGAAATTCACAAATAATAACAACTATTTTGATGTTAATTCTGATGAAAAAAGCAACAGCAGTTTCATACTTACAGATTATCATTGCAGAATATTTTAAAGTCACAATTAGTTTATTTTTTAATAATATCCAGTTTTACATTTGAGTCATTCTATCTGATTGTTTTTACATACTATTTCTTTATTGTTCTATTTATATCATTAGCAAACTTTAATTCCTATTCTATGATAATGTGTTGAATAAATTAATCAAAAATTAAAAGTGAAGAATCAATACATAAAGACTTTATAGAATTATAACTACAGACAATTATATGTTTCAAGTGAAAAGAGCAAAAACAATTGACTCACATGTTGGATGTAATGTGGGTCACTTCAGCAGCTGCAGGGACAAACTTGCCCTTAACAAAAGGGCAAATACTGCATGAGGACTGAAGATATTGTGCACAAAGCAGATGGGGAAATCCAACGTTGTGACAGGGATGGACGTAATTTTTCATTCTGTACTAATCTGAAAATGTGATTGTTCACTAAAATGACCTCTGTGATGTCCATCAACTGTCATCATCATCTTTCACCATCTGACCTCTGTATCTAAACCACCTTTAGATTGAACGTGAACCTATATCTTTTTTCTTTTTCTATCATTTAGCACCTTTAAGATCTGATGACCTGCAGCATGTGGAAGCCTGAACATTCAGTTGTTCCAGTCTTTTGTAATGATGACCTAAATCTGAACGCTTACATACAGGGTTCATCCTGAGCTGGAAGATGTCAGTTCCTTTTCTGCTGATCATCTTTATTCTTTCCTTCATCCAACATTGAAGTTAGAGAAGCGCTAAGAACTGGAGCAGACCCAGAACTTTATTGACAGTAGAAACATATGTAAACTTGAAAGTTAAGTGAGAAACATTTTCATGTATAGGTCAACATTGCACACTTATTCACACAGACACAGCAGTAACAGTAAAGTCTTACTCCCCTGCTCTTATTTACATGTGTCCCAGTTTGTTAGCCAGTGAAGAAGACATGTCAGTCAGCAGATCCTCCCTAAAGTGCTCTTGCCTCCTCTGCAATTCATGGACAAAATGCCCCCTCAACTTCTTTATCTCCGTCACTCGCCCCAACAGCTGCCTGCATGTCATCTTCTGTACCTCTAGGGGGCAGTCTGATCTGATGTCCACCAGCTCAGGCATTTGGCCACACAGCGTCACAGCCCGCCTCAGATCTCCTTTGTCCTGATCCAGGAGCTCATCTACAGTTTGCTGTCGACCTGAGTGGGTTAGTACCGGGATGATGTAACTCTGCACTTCATCCCCAAACAGTTCTATGGTGCCTTGGATGGCACGGGTGGGGTCTTGGTTGATCTCCTTGCTGATGGAGCCTGGAGCTTCTACTGTCATCAGTATGGCATGTGGTCCAGGACTCACTAACAGAAGGCTTCTTAAGGCCTCCGTGGCTCTCCTGTGGTCCCCCAGTGAAGGGCCCAGAAGATCTGGGGTGTGGATCAGTGTGACCTCTCTACCATTCACCACTGCACTCAACTTGGTGCTTTCCATCACAGGAGTCAAAGGTGATTTTCTGTCAGTGATGCCCAACAAGGTATGTGCCACAGAAGTCTGTCCACTCCCTGTGGGCCCAAGAAGGATCAGCCTCAACCCAGGTTCTGCTGACCTCAGTGCATCATCTTCAGACGAACCTGCAGGTGGTAGAGAAGAAGTTTAAAAAAAAAAAGTATTTTCTTTGCCCTTGTTTATTTTTCAACCTAATCAGAGACTATTTAAATAAAAAAAGATTTTTCTTATTAAAATCATGGTGCAATTTGAGGGAGTTTTCCCCTAATGGTCCATTGAATTTCCTGCGCTTCACTTTTAAAGCCAAAGTGTCAATTTCTTATTAAAGTCTATGAGTGAATTCAAAGAAAGAAATAAGTTAACTGACCTGTGATGGCTCTGATAACTGCACCCAGCCACGTATACTTATGGGAAATTCCTAAATGGTCAGACATACGAGGAATCAGTGGTGTTTTTATTTTTAATTGAAATTGTTACAGTGTTTTTGCTAAAATACTGTCAGATACTTTACAGCTGTCACATATGTTCTAAATGTTTTCCAACCTTCCCTCTGACTGCCTAAACATCCTTAAAAGAGGCAGTAAACATCTCCCTGCTCTGTTTACCTTCACTTCAAAAGTCAATTTGCAGGACACAGAGAAAAGTAAACCAAAGACAGGCAGAACTCACTGACGACGAAGCGCCACAGCCGACTCAGCAATCTATAGAAGTTTCGTATTCCTGAGAAACAGGATATAAACAGAGCTGTTCACAGGCGACATTTGGCATGTTTTATTTTTTTAATCCAGGGGAAATTTCTCTACCTTTGATCGTCCTCACCAGACGGCTCACCCAGCTCCACAGAGCTGACAGACCTAAGGCAGAGAACACACACAAATGTCACTTTATTTAGTTTAAATGCAGCGACAGTTTCAGATGACTTTCTTTAAAAACAGCATAGTGTGAACAGTGATCACAGAATAGAATTCACCAGTTAAAGAGCAGAAGAGACGAATGGGCCAGCGAATCAAAAATGGAAGAGCTGAAAAAAAAACCCAAACAGATAAAGTTCAATCATCAAGAGAGTTCTCCAATATTTACCTAACATATAGTCACTGTGATTTAAAGAAAATCTAGCTTCTGTTCTAGACACAGGGCAGGACATAAAAATGATGTAGAATAAGTATGTAATTGTTTATATCTATTTATATATATAAAATAAAATCACAGGAGGTTCAATCCTGGTTCTTGGTCAGGATACCATGTTTGATTCAAACCTATGACTCTCTGACAACAAGCCCCATCCTTTTACCGCTAGACCACAGGTTGCCTGTACAATGTTGATAATGGGAGCAGACTTAGGGGTAGCTCTTAAGAAAATCTTGCCTTCCCTAAAGAAACTACATGTGTCATATAAAAGATTTAGAACAACACACTCTCTGTGTTTCCCAGTTTCTTACTTTCATACCAGACAACAAATCATTGAAGAAAACGTGTATGATGTCTGTTGATTTTTTTGATCTGTTGTCTTACTCTGAGAGAATCTGTAGAGGAGATATCCCACCACTGTGAAGGTCCCGATCTGGAAGCTGGACCAACCTTAACAAACAGAGGAAAACAGAGCATGATGGGAGTATTGTAATGCTGCTCAGGTCTTATCACCAGGTTAACCCTTGACCTAAATGTAGCTCTGTAGTACCTTGAAACATTATAATTCCATTTAAACATTCTTTTAACCTCAAAGTCTTTAAAGCAATGCCTTACCCTGACCAGCTTGTGCTGCAATGTCCTTTGCACACTCGCAATCCATTTCTTAGACGGATTATAGGTGACAACACTGCGTCTTGGACCTTTCAGTTTAAAAGTTTTAGGGGATATGATTGCAGAAGGAAAGTAAAACATAGTGTGTCAGTCAAACCCAAATGATGAAAGTACAGCAGATTCCCAAGACTTGGGAAACAAAAAAAGGGAAAACTAACATTTCACTTAAATCCTCAAGGGATTAGCAGTTAGCTACATGTGTAATCAGCACAGAAAACAGTTAGATTAAACATTAAACAAAGTTAGCCCCAAAATTAACCTTGTTAGCTTACAAAAGGTAACTGATAGCCTGGAATACCTGATACGTAGCTAAAAGACTACAATAAGATAGTGTAGGTAATTGTAAATGCCATCAAATTAGAGTAAATAACTTGAAAAAAGCAAATTGTAATAGCTTATTAACTTGGCAAGTTAGTTGAGTTAACTTAATAAAATCTGCAGTAAAATAAGCTAAAAATGACGTGTGTAGCCAAGTAGAAATTCACACGAAGTCCTGAAAAGTACAACATTCTGATCTGCTCAGGAACACGTGGATGAAATGTGTACATACTTATTACCTGGTGAATCTGATAACCTCCTCTGAGGAAAATCATCAACTTCCAGTTTGTCCAAACCTGAAGAACCTCACGTGTTTAAAGTCAAATCTGATTCATTCTTCCTGTTGTTTTTCCACAGCGTTAACCTGCACAGGCCTGCCCTCCTCTGGAACACTGTTCTTTTATACCTCTTAAGCAACACAATGCAGTGACAAGGTCCAGGTATGCTGCTAAAGCTGTGGTTCCACTACAGAAAGACACACCTTTATACTTACTTCAAGAGGAACTGGAAAAGCTGCTTAGGACACGCAACACACTGTAAATATGATTATATGTTTTTAAAAATGACACAGGGAGAGACTAACTTTTCTTCATTTAAAGATCAACTGTCCAAAACAGTTATTTATTACATTTTGAAGTTTTAAGATAGAAAAAAAACATTTCTTACATTCAAACTCTATTTTCTTTTTATTATGCAACAAATCTTCAAGTGCAGACATTGGGGGAAAAAACTAAACCAGTCTTGGCTTAAGCTTATCAAGGGAAACAGGAAACTTCTTTGTGGGCAGGTCAACCTGGGAAGGCAACAACAGGAAATTTAAAATCCGTTAACAGTTGAGTGGCTGCAGATCTTCATCATGAACCCAGATGAGCAACAAGAGCGTCAATAAGTTCTTGCTTCTTGGACCCGGCGACGCGAATCCCAAACTGCTTGCAGGCGTCTTTCAGTAGCGGCACGGTCAGTTTTCCAATGGTACCGTTCTTCATGTGGTTCTTTAGCTCCTCCTCTGACACCTCCACTTTTGGCTTTTTCTCAGATCCACCTCCATCATCTGCTGCAGGTGAAGAAAAGAAGAGTAAGACAGAGCAGAGATTCTTTGATGAACAGGAACTTGACAAATTGCCTTTTCTTTTTACCAGTTTTTCGTTTGGCAGCTGGTTTGACGTCAGGGTTGTAGTTGAAAGGATAAACCATGTTTTTAAACTCGTCTATCAGAGGACCCAAACGGATGTCCATCTGCTCCACCTTTGGCACTGGAAAAGTAAAACAAAAGTAGAGTAAATGTGAGAATGAAAACACAAGCAGCTGTTGGCAGCAGCCAGGGTGCCGTGTTTTCTCCATCTTACTGATGAGATCATCAGTTTCTTCTGGAGCCACCATGTCCAGAGCTAAGGCCTCCAGGTTCCTGTAATGTTGCTGGATAACTGGGTTCTCAAACGCATCACTCCTATGTCACAAACAGCCAAAACAGAGAAGATCAATAGAAATAACATATTCTAACAGTGTCACTGGTCTGTTTGCTCTAAAAGAATGATGAAAAGACATCTTTACATCTGAACGTCCAAGTACCTGTATTTGAAGCGGAGTTTGGAGACAATCTCCTTCATCTTGTTCACCTGAATTGGTGAGGCAATGGGACAGTGTGGAATATCTAGATTCCGTATGTCATCAGCATATGGCAGGAAGATGACATTAAAACCTGAAGCAGGAGACGGATGACAAAGTTTCATTTGAATCAAATGACACATGATGTAAATAATACTGATGAGTATCAAGAATCTGACTGTTTGACTAGTTTATTCTCAACTCTGTGACAGTATTTCTCTCTTCAACGTTTGCAAGTCTCTCTGGACTTGTCTTGTAGTTTAGAATTATACCAGCAGGGGGAGTAGACAACACCAAATAGACATACCGTGGAAGCTAAAAAGGTAAAAGAAAGACTAAGTAGCTACAACTGAAAGTTCCAATACCACCCATACGTTCGCTGTTGTAGGTTTAATACATTTTTTAAAAATTCCAACCTCACAGAGGAAAAATCCTGTGGTACAGGAAACAAGTGATTTTATTACAAGTGCCCCCACCACAAAAAAATGTCACCCATCAATTACCATTGAAATTAACTAATTTGTTCATTTATCACATTTTTAAATCTGATTTTTAGTACTAGTCAATCAATATAGCATTATTTTGCCTTAATTTCCTGTTTTATCTACATGCAGCCTGGGGCGGTTACCTGGCGGTTTAGTCTGTACTTTCCCATCATCCACCTCTTCTTTCTGAGGGACCAAGGCAACAAACCGTGGTGGTATGTTTCGGCGAGGTGTACAGCGACACACAGCAAAGACGTTCTTCTCACTACACTTCTTCAGCAGAGCGGAGAACAGACAGGCACTGCCTGAGGAGGAACAATCACACTTTTCACTTTATTTACACACCTACTATTTTATAAAGCCTCTGTTGTTGTGGAACACAAAGATGGTGACGTGGTCGGCACCTTTAACTTGATCGTCTTCAGGATAAAGAAAGATTGCAGGTCGGATGTGATGGTGCAACTTCAGCTTCTCCATAGGTTTGAATCCAATAAGATACAATCCAGGGTCGTCAAACTTCTTGATTGCGTCCACCTCATCTCTCTCCATCACTATCTTTTTTTTACCATAAACCTACACAGAAACAAAATGTTTAAGTGACAATAAAATTAAAAGATTAAAAGAAATGACATTTACCTCCAGTTCACCTGGGCTTTTTTTATCTCACTGGGCAGAAGCAGACTTCCTGTCTGGGTTTGGAAAGTGCGGGTTTTGCTACGGACTTGCTCGTTGGTTTCTCTGTAAAGTTTGACGGCGCCAGGTTTTCGTGCTGTCACTGCAGTTGCATAAAGTCCCACAGCCATGTTTATTCCCTCATCCAGAATCAGCTTTATCCTAAAAAAGACAATGTGGGAGAGAGAGTGTGAAGAACAGAGAGAGTGCAGGTAAAACAAGAAATAGTTACAGGAAAGGAAGCTAAAATGCTTTGCTGTTAAAGGAAAGGAAAGGCTAATTCAAGGTTAGCCTTTCCTTTCAAATATATCTGGCTAACCTTCAGCTATGGACCACACAGGATCTGTGGAGAGGTTAAAAACACCCCCACACACACACACAAATATTTTTATGATCATTAACTCTACCGTGCTAAGGATCTCTTCTTCTGCTCCTTGGCCAGAACCCTCTTCCTAAGGTCGTCCAGTTTGTCACAGGGCTTCAGCTGTAAACCCAACTCACTCTCATCCTCAGCTGGACTGACAATGTCACGGAAGTAGAGTGAGACGTCAAAGCCACCTGGTTTCATTAGATGCATCAAATCGATCATAACTCCTAAAAAGAAGCAGTAAGTCAAACTGAGCTCATCAAAACACATGATGTAACCACTGAAACTCTGAGTCCTGAGCCTTGGGTTACCAGTCTCCTTGAGGTCACGCGCTTTAGTGTGAGCCTGACGGTCCTTTGTGCTGTTGCCTCCATGTGGATCATCCCTGCAGGTGAAGATCATGAGTCTCTTGTGAGAAAGTCGGTACTTGATGTCACTGTACAGGTTGGCGCAGCACCACAGGGCATCGCCAAGTGATGTCTCTCCACTACCCATGGTCTCAGCTGCTAATTTTTCTCCTTTATCCCCCAGCAGAGCGTCCAAGTCCCGCACTCGTGTCGCACCTGTGGTAAAAAGGCAAAGCCTTGTGAGAGGAGAACAAACCGAAAAAAAAGAGAAGTGTAGGAAGGACAGTTTTAATCTGACCTGGTTCATCAAGGTCATGGTAAACGTAAACATGCTTGAATGAGTTCCTGGGGTTTTTGCTCTGCTCTGTACCGTAAAAGACCAGAGCTATCAGATCTCTGTAACTGCTGATGATCTTAGTGGTGTAAACACTGCGCACAACCTAGAGAGAATAAACAGAAACTATTGGAAAAGACTGAACTGTTCAAAGATAATTTAAGAATAAAGGATCACATTGTCTATTTTTTTGCAAATTAAAAATGTGATTAAAAACAAAAATTCAAATGTGCTGCACCATTGAAATTTACCTGCATGGTCATGTCAAAGTTGGACAGCTCTCCATCCTCTCCTTTGATAAACATTTCTTTTGAAGCATCAACCAGAAACACCAAACTGTCTCTTCCTGTGACTTTGTAATCTCCTGTCAAAGATTTTATTTGGAGTCTGTATTAGGGCAAGATATTCTCACGTGTCAACACAAAAATGCAAAGATTCCCCTAGTACTGACAATAAGTGAAAGCATCTCTAAATTGTTACGATATCTCATTATGTGATTAGTGTTAAATTGCATGTATAGCGAGAGCTATGTTGTCACAATTCTCTTGTTCATTTAATGATTTTATCTCACCTGAAGTCTGTTCTCCCTCTTCCTGCTCTTCATCTTCATCTTCGTTGTGGTAGAAAGCGTTCCACTCCGCCATTAGGACTTTTAGTTCTACTGTTTTAGAGTTCAACAGTGCAATTAAGCAAAAGAACTAAACACAAAATACAACAATCCGCAAATTGAATAAAAACAAAGAAAACTCAACGAAGGTCTTCTGTTTTCCTAAAGTTTTGTTGGTTTTATTAAAATGCTATTTTCACTTAAAACAAGTGACTTGAACAATCTGTGCCATTGTACTATATAATATTTATAACAGGTTAATGTTAAATGATCCAGGACGTAACTTAAACACAATGTGCTAGCTTAGCTGCTAAAAAGCTACTGCTCTTTGCACTGTTTTTTTATGACCGATTAATTGCGGAAAATATATTTCTAACAATGCAGCTTGTCTTTGTCACTAAAACGATATTAATAAAAACGTAAACATTAAATAACTTGCTTATTAACTCAAATACCTGTGCGTTTTCTTCCGCAATATATGCCTCAATTTGTTTCATTGACTGGCGCTACTCGGTTTTGACGAGTAGTCGTACGTAACAAAATTGGCATTGACTATTGGTCAATGAAGTGCCTGCCCGTCAAAAATACTGACCAATCCTGGGAGAGATCTGACTCACTTCCGGGATAGAAATGTCTTATGCCGCCCGGCAAACTTTTGTTTTTGTTTACAATAGCACGATGACGCAGCGTTAATTGACATTAGTGGTGTTGCCTTCAGTTGCCACTAGAATTATTAAGTTATCATTTTCTTGCGATATTTTATCTTATTTTTGTGTGTAAGAATTTTAAGACAAAACCTAATGTGTAGTGTCGCTACCGGTTATCTCGTAGGAGTTGTGTGAGTTAGCCAACTTTAAAAGTAAATTTGGATCATAATATTTCAACTTTACGTTTTTTGTTTTTATATTTTAATACTTTAATACAAAATGGACCAAAGCGATACTTTTCCAGTGAAGCTGTACGTTTACGACCTGTCCAGAGGAATGGCCCGGCAGTTAAGTCCTCTCATGCTCGGTGAGTTTCTGTAAGAGCGGGGATGTTACTTTGACCCGGTCGCTTTATGATTTTTGTGATTAAAATACATACCTTCTACTAAATACATAACCATTAACGTAGCTATTTTCTCTACTTAGGGAAAGTACTGGAAGGGATATGGTGAGTGTAACCTCTGCTGAGTCATGTGTACTTCCGGTTGGCTTTATTTAACGTTACTTTATTTATGTATTTGTTTATTACAGGCACACTGCTATTGTGATCCATGGAAGGGAGTACTTTTTTGGTGGACAGGGTATCAATAGTTGTCCACCAGTAAGAAAACGCTCTAATTTTCTCGATAACTATACAAATCTCGGTACTAAAGAATGTCCATGAACATGGAGATGTTTCTGTCATTGTATCCAGGGTGGCACACCTCTGGGTGAACCTGACTCCATCGTGGACCTGGGTCGCACTGAGGTCCCAGCTGAGCTCTTTACCGATTATCTTGCTTCTCTGGCAGAGTCAACTTACAGGTAAAAGCTTAACTTTGTTTTCTTGGCTGTAGACCTCAGCATCTTCACCTCAACAAAAGGTTTAAAATACACCAAAAATGTGTGCATCTGCCACTTAGAGCCAGTTTGAATGAAGTGTGGGGCTGATGAATGGATGTGAGTACGCTGTGCTGCTTATAGATTAACACAGTTGTTTCTTTGGGATCTTGCTTGTTTTGTACTTAAATTTATCTTTTACCCTAATTTAGTTTCTTTTCTGCTCTTGTCTCTGTTTTCTCAGTGGTGACAAGTACAACTTGTTTGAGCACAACTGCAACTCCTTCAGCAGTGAACTGGCTCAGTTTCTAACAGGCAGAAAAATTCCATCATACATCACAGACCTACCATCTGACATACTATCCACGTAGGTTGACTGAGAAGTTTCTCTTACACCAGTGATGTGTATAGTATGTAATCGTGTCACTGTGACCACACACCTCAGTGACTCCCCTCTGTTTCCTCCTTAGACCCTTTGGACAGGCACTGCGTCCATTTCTGAATTCCTTCTCCATAAACCCTGGAGGCAGCAACATGAATGGACAACAGTAAACACACCTACATTTGTGAAAGGAAATATTGCCATTAAAGAATTTTTAATGTGGGGGTAATTAATAACCACCACTTGGCCTGTGACTGATGGGTTTAGGCTTTCAGGCCGTGTTCTGCACTTTCCTACCATCTTTACCTGCTGAGGTGTTTCACCAGGACAGTTCAGTTTCATAACGAAATGACCAAATAAGAAACATTTTAATATTTACCCATTAAAATGTTACAGCCTTCCAATGTTTTTCTTCTTTGTACAACTTAACTTAAATCTTGACCTGCCTCATTATTATATATATATTTTATCTCAGTAGCCTGTGAGTCTTTCCTCACATCTGCCTTTTCTTTTAAAATTTTAAGGTGCAGTTTGTCAACCAAAAAAAAAACAACTTTTGCACCATAATGTTTTTACTAAAATGTAATAGAATTCAGAAGTTGTTGAATATAAATAATAATTTCTTTGTAATAAAAACATATATAACCTGTGTATCACTTATTAAATAAGGAAATACAAATGTGTTTGGTTGGAAAGTAATATAATAAACTTGGAAATATATTTTTTGACTTCAAATTTTTTTTTTGCATTTACTTTTTTCATTTTCAATAGAGCAAAAAGAAAAAAACCTCATGTACTTATTAGCTAACTGATCATAGTTTCCATAATTAAAGACTTTTTTGTTTTAACTAATAAATAAATACAAACTACTGAGTTGGTGCACACCTTTGTGATTGCAGTAAGTCAGCCACGAGGTGGCACTGCAGGTTCATTGTAGTTGTGATGACAATTCCGTTTCACAGGTCAGAAGTTGCTGAGCTTTCCATTGACCAGAATGGGAATTAATAGATCAGATCAACATCTAGAGGTAAAGTGGGAGAGACAAGGTGGAGATGGGTTGAAATATTTGACAAGATGTTGGAGATGAAGCTGCCAGAACCTAGAGAAGATTGACTGTGGATGGTTGGTGGACCAGAAACAGAATAGGGGTCTACATCAGTTTAATAGGAACACATTAAACTGAAAATAAATAACAATTAGCTTACTGGGTAAATGTAATTATTAATGACAGCTAGTCATGGGCCGCATGCAGAGATTATAAGGGCCAGAAATGGCCCCCCGAGCCAGGAGTTTAGGATGAAAATAGATGATCCAGTGTGGTGCATTATTAATGACAGCTAGTCATGGGCCGGGGAGATTATATGCAGAGATTATAAGGGCCAGAAATGTCCCCCCGAGCCAGGAGTTTAGGACGAAAATAGATGATCCAGTGTGGTGACCCCTGAAGGCAGCAGCAGAAGACAAGTTAAAATTCATTGATCTGCAAAAGCATCTTTATTTATTAAACAATCCTCTGTTAATAACAACTGGAGAACATCATGGGTATAAATATCTTTCTGCCGTCAGAAGAAGCACAGGTACAAATACAGCAAATATACTGTACATTTTTTGCTACATCATACTGTATATAGGAACATAAAAACACTGATACTTTCGCGTAGCCAATTTAGTAACAGTTACTGCAACACAACGAGCTACTGAGGCTTCAAATCCAAACGAGAGTAAAACTCACCAACAGTACTTGGTGTGAAAACATAATGAATACACGGTGTGACTTTGACTGTCCTTTGTCCTACACTACTTCTGAATCTGAACAAAACCTAACATCCACCGTGACAGTATTAAGATCCTCTGCTGCACAACACAAAATGGAATAAATCTTTCCCTTTAAAATCTCATTTTTTATGTTGCTTAAATCTCCAGCATAAGTAAATAATTCTGTTTGGTCCTGACATCAACTGCAATTATAATAATGACCTTATTCATAATCTATAGTACATACAGCCCTTATTTAACCAGAAATACATACAGATTATACTAAATCTTGCCAGATGAGCTAACAGTATTTACAGCAAGTTAATAAATAAGGTAAAGACGGGGATTTCAGATGTGACTGACTGGGAATTCACCTAAAATATATTCAAACTAACAATACAAATAAACCTATTGTGTGAAGAGTGCCTTTAGAAGTGAAACATGGTTTAAATTATAATTACTGTAACTGTCTCCAGAAAGACTTTAACCAAATAGAAAGTAATGCATCATAAAAGCCTTGCCGCTCTTTCTGCACAAATGTCATGCACTTCTGGACATGTGCAGACCGTGTTCACGCCTCACTTCTCTCAGTTAGTCCCTGGGGGGGTGGAGATGCCCATGAAGTGTTGCCTAAGGGCTAGGAATTTCACAGCAGCATCCACACATCCATACTTTCCAAGTTCTGACCCAGACCCAGATCCACACTGACTCCTTCCTTTGACTTCCCTGGAGGAATAGAACGTTAGTTTTCTTTCTTTTCTGTTTTTTTCCTCTTCTTTTGTGAGTCCCAGCCTCTGGCGCCTACACGGTCCCTGTGGTTGGAACGAGAGGCTGATGGGAGTTGACAGGATGGTGGCGTTGTCCTCATCGCCAAGTCAATGCAACCCCAGGGATGTTATCCCGGTGTGCATGGCCTGATGGCACAGAATTCCAAAAACAAAATCGTTCGCTGGAACACAGATGAGAGAGGACAGAAGGGAGGTAGTAAACTGCTGTCTGTTTAGGTCAACGACAAAATGGAATGTACCAGAAAAAAATTCTTAGATTCTTTAAGGAGCCTACCTGTGATCTAGACTGTGTTGCCTCAATATAATTTACTGTCAGAACGGTTGAAAGCTGAAAGCATTTACAGTACATTAAATGTTTAAACACTGGGGCCAGATTTGAAATGTTTTTCTTCCCCATCTTGTCACCTTTACAATCATGAAAATGTACTAAAACAGTTAGACTGGAGGAGCGCTTAAGGTTCTCGTCTTACAGCAAGAGAATTGCTGAATCAGTCTAAATTCCAGTGTGTGGACAAGAATCTGGACACAGATGTGGGCCTCTAAAGGTTTATATTTACTGGCAGTCTGCAGGGTAGACATAATGATTTTGTCCATCATTGGGCCAGACTGACTTTTTGCTAAGTTTTCTGTCCACAGCTCACAAAAACCAAATGAGAGAAGATGAGATGAAGCACCAGAGCTGTGGGAGACGTGAGTGAAACAACACAGGAACCTGAGCGTCTGTTTTTCCTTTCTGTTCATGATCCAGATCTAACACAGTTTTCTGATGACGACCTGAGTCCTCTAATACTGTATGTGAGAGTTGTGGTTTGTCTACATTGTTTCTCAAACTTTATCTAATTCTTTCTTCCTTTTTCAAAAACTTCATTCCACCTGTTCCACCTGTCTCACTGTTTCTAACTCATTTATTGCCAACTCTCCCTGACTCTCACTTGTTCTTTTCTTGTGCAAAGCTACAGCAGAGCGGTGAAGCTCAAACCGTCACCTCCGTCGTACTGTGGGTGGAGAAGCTCTTCTGCCTGGCTTGTTGGTAATAGCTGGATTGAGATAAATGGTGTCCGTGGACTTGCTGCCCATGTCCCTGTCCTGCTCCACTGTGAACCCCTCTGTAGGGCTGAATGAAAAGATCCGGCATGTTCTCTATGCTCTCCTGCCTCCTGGTGGAGTAGCCATGTCGTCGGGCAGAGCTGTGGATAGTGGACGAAGAGGAGTTGGTGTGTCCTGGTGCAGAAGTCTGCCTTTGAACATGGCGGGCGTTAGGCTCCCAGGCCTTGAATGCGGAGCTGGAGAGAAGTGGGTGGGTGTTGGTCTTGGGGAGGGGTGGTTGGTCCAGATGACTGGCAGGGATGGAGATGGACAGTGGGGCGTTGAGGCTGGGGTGTGCTGGCAGGGACTGGTGGATGTAAGACCTCTCTTTGGGCTGAATTGGCACCGGCTGGAAGGCATGAGCCGTGACGGGTTGGTACTGAGTGAAGTCCATGAGTGGGAAGCTCTTGTAGTAGCTGCGAGACGCAGTGTCCGCTGTCAGGACAAAATGACAGGAGACAATAATTACAAGGGGAGGAAATTAATGGGATAGATTTATTGTTATTATTACACAAAATCGTTTTAAAGGGGAAAAAAAGCCTTTTCTGACTGGAAATGCAAAAGTTCAACTACGTCCATCACAGCTGAGGACGTACTTACTAAGAAAAGTCATTATAATCTGAGAGTATTTTCCTGGTTAACCAATCACATTGGAGTTAAATACCAACATATCAACTCACTTGGTTTTTGTGTTAATTGGTAGCAGTTTTTCACAAGACATCATTATTTGGACGTTTGGGAAAGTAATGTTGTAAGACACTGCATGGACAAATGTTTTTCTTACTCTTGGTGTGAGCTCCCAAATAAGTTTTTCTGGATTAAAATTGTAACTTAGTGGGGAAGTGTATGACAGCACTGACTGTACAGTCATTGCCTTACACTGACAACATGTCAGTCCCTTTTAGCTTATTGGCTTTAGCTCAATATTTTGTGTTATTTTAACTGAAACATTTCCACCATTGGTGGGACCTGAGCTGAAAGACAAAAGTTAAAAAAGAGAAGTTCTTTGTGCTCATTGTCTTTAATTTCTCTCTTTAAAATCTAAGTCTCTACTTGTCACTTGTCTGTGAGTCAGGTGTAGACGCAGCCAAAAATGAATCGTCACCGTGCCAACACCGTGTCTGTCAGTCTGGAAGCACTGATGGCTGAATCACGCTCCATCCACCGTGTGTGTGTGGTCAGACCTCACCTCCCAAACTGCCAGCCTTGTCTGGTTTTCCAGTGTTTGAGAAACTTGTAATGGGAGGTCAGGAAACAGTGGGAAGAAGAACTGTTGATGCAGTTTTAGCCTGAAGTGATTCAAAACTCAAACTCACTTTGGTAGCTCTACCTCAGGACATGGGGACACGACAGTGGAAGGCTATAAATAACCTGGCCCTGAGTGCTGTGTGTGTGTGTGAGTGTGAATGCACGAATGTCACATTTATTAAAAAACAAACAAACACAAGGTCACTGGTGCTGTCATCACATTTAATTTACAGATAGTGTTTAAAAAAATGAATCAAAATTAACAAATACTTCCTTCTGTTGATCGGAAATCAAAATCACCAGAGCTTTTCAGTTTCCGGTTGTAAAATGTAAAGGTTGTCATGGAGTCAGTGTGTGTCTGTGTGTGTGTGTGTGTGAGACCTACCCACAGCTTTTAAAGAGGTGTATTTATTAATTCCCACATTGTTGTGGTTGCTGTGTGGTCGAGGAAGAGCTTGTCCATATGGTCGGTACGGAGAGTTGTTCAGATGGTACTGTTCTGTTGGAGACAGTGAGAGAAAAAGTAGAAGAGCTGAGAAAAAAATAACCAAATTATGGATGTGATGAACGGAGAGAATGGACGAGGAGTTCTGTCTTCTTGTTTTGAGCATCAACACTGTAACTTTTATAAAAAACAAAGTTAGAGTTTGAGTCAGACATTGGGTGGAGAATGTATACATTTTACAGTTTTACTGGTCACAGGAAGTCCTAACAAACAGGAACTATTTTGGGACATCAAATTATTCCTGATACTTTAGCCCACGCCCATAGTTTCTTTCCGGAGACCATGTCCATGACAGCAGCTGGGTATGAATCAAAAGCATCCTCTGTCACAGTATTTCTCTGGATCTCTGACAGAGACCATCCCACAAATGTCTTCTGTCAGAATAATCGCCATGACATGAGCCGAGAAGACAATCAATAATTTATAAGAGGGTGTAATTCCTCTGTTATGACCCCAGGGGAGTGAGGCAGAGCCAGAGTGTGAGGAGAAAAGTGCCTCTGAAATTGAAATTGAGAAAAAGTGGGAGATGGAAAAGTAAAATGTGTCCAACTTGTTTTTCTTACTGGGTCACACCTACGACTGCTCTCAACTTTGATAAATAGGTTTTGGGGCTTTTCAGGATTTTCCAAACTCTACTTAGTTGACACCAGGCAACATTTTATAGTCTCTGATGTAGTAGAGTCTACTACATCAGAGACTATAAAATGTTGCCTGGTGTCAACTGTAGTTGGTTGTGTCCACGTCAAAAAATGTCTTCAGTGACAGAGTGGAACAGAAAATAGAGAATTTAAAACTTCAGTAAACAACCAAGGACACCCACTTGTATTGAGTTTGAATTACTTACGTGAAGAGACTTAGGTTGGTCTTTAGTTGAGTCAACATATATTAAACCAGTCATCTTCCTGCTTCAGACAAGGGAACACTTATCTTTTTAATAAATACAAATCTTTCACTTTTTGCAGATAAAGCAGTTTGATTATATGTGACTTTCTGTGGGTTAACAGAGGACGAGGATCTTAGACATTCTGGGTTGGACTTGTTATTTAAAGCACTGACATGTTGAACTTCAAATGTCAGCACATGAGTTTGCTTAAACAGTGTGTAAATGGCATTTATAAAAAGATCGTGCTCAGACTCAGTCATAACAATTCTCTGCTTTTTCTAGAATGGTGATGTGCTTTACAGAACTTTGTCTTAGAACTATGTATTTATGAAGTTTTACATTCCACAGGAAAAACATGGAATAATGTGGGTAAATGTGAAGCGCAGCATGTCACAATAAAGATTGAGTTTTTCGGTGATATCTCCAGAGTCCAGCACAAAGATGTCGTATTGATCAAATCAGCCACGTGTTTTATATCGAACACCTAATAATGTAATCTTCAAATGTTCACACTAAGTAACTGTAGGACGGAGTCAATGCCCCAGCAGCCGGTGGTTGTTCCTGTCAGCTGGAGGTTTAGAATCCCACAGCAGGCTGTCAACAACTTCACAAGACTTTACACAAGTCTCTTTGTGAGCAGCAGCAGCAGCAGCTGCAGCAGTAACAGTAACAGCAGCATCATCAGGAACATTAGCAGCAGCAGCAGGAAAAACAGCAGCAGCAGCAGGAACATTAGAAGCAGCAGCAGCAGCATTATCATCAGCAGCAGCAGCAGCAGCTGCCGCAGGAAAAGGAACAGCAGCAGCAGCAGCAGCAGGGAATACTTTCAAGAAAAGAGGGGAAAAAAATAAAAATATGGGATTGAAAAAGGAAAATACCAATGTGTATGTGCAAGATTTTCCAGAGGAGATAATAATAATAAAATTAAACCATTACTGCTGCTGCTGATGTGTTAGTCTTGGATACAAAGTTCCATGGATACAAACTACTTCTCTTTTCAAGTGTGTGTGATCAATGCTCCGAGGTAGATTAAAGCCTCCACCGTGAACCAACACGTCCAGGCTAATCATTAGCAGAGTGTAAAATTCTACATCGGACTGATGTGAGAGACAGTCACTGCAGGCAGTCTCTCATATCCAACACACACAGGCTCACACCAGCAATGCATACTAATCCATATGAACACTCACACGCACATGTATGCCAACAAAGAAATTAAAAAGACAGAAAAATCTTCCTTTCATAAGTCTCAGTCTGAGAGTGTGTCACACAGACTGGTGTGTGTATGTGTGTTTGGACGTCGAGGAAACGACACATGATGCCTGTAGGGCTGCAGCCTGCCTATATTAACATATTAATTACAGTGCATAGTGTATGCTGGATTACATGTATATGTGTGTGTGTGTGTGAGAGTGTCTCAGTGAGTGTGCTGCACGTGCAACAAGCATGTGTTCCACTTACAGATGAGGATGTCCACTCACATTTCCACAAATATCAAGTATAAAGAATAAAGTTGCCAAGAGTTGCTCCAGATATGGGACAAATTCAAGCCCTTTTCAAGCACTTTCAAGGCAATAAGGTCCAAGGTATTGGAAAAAATACATTAACTACTCAACACTCAATATCAAAGTAAAAACGATTTTTGTGTTTACTAGTTTACCACCTAAAAAAGGAACAGACTTCATATGAAGGATAAGTATCTGTTGTTCTAACTCACCACTCCTGCTGCGCATCATCCTGGCTGAGACGCCATTGGCTCGCCTTCCAGTGGGCGGACTGGCCGTGGTGTGTTCCACTGAGCTCACCTCATTTCCCTGTTGCTTCAGCAGATCTGTCACTGCCCTGGACACACACACAGAGACACTTGGTTTCTTACATTACTTCCAGATAGTTGAAGATAACGCCACCCTAGTGGCAGCATGTTACAGAAGATCCTTTATCTTTTTTAACTTAAGGCTGTAATTAAATCATGTTCCTCTAAATAAGATGAGGACTAGATCTTTTAGTATCCTTTTTAGTTTTAGTCTTCAGTTAAGAACAAGGTAAAGTGTGTTCTGCTCCGACGTCTACAACAGAACAGATGTATCTCATCCTGGATATTAGAAATAAAAACACAGATAACGTCAGTTTTTCAAACACATCCTAACACAGTCTTTGACAAACACCATCTGTGTCAGTCCCCTGAAAGTCTTCCACTTAACAGCTGGGGCCACACACACACACACACACACACACACACACACACACACATACTGTAGATAGTTCATTTACAGTACATTCTCTCATCTCAGAGGAGAGTGTGTGTGTTTATGTCTGACTATATTACTGTAAAAAACATCAAATTTGGGAGCTGTCATTTTAAAAGTCACATCATTAAAAAATAGTAGGCATTGTTTAAAATGTTAAGAAAGCAGTGACTGGGCTAGAGTTGCATTCTGGGTGAAGAACATGCCATTCATGTACTTTTCACACTAGCATGGATTGAAAGAGCTATAATAAACAGTGATGTTGTCTGTGTGTGTGTGTGTGTGTGTGTGTGTGTGTGTGTGTGTGTGTGTGCTGCTCAAGGCTGTTAATTCCACTCATCTGTATGTTACTCCAGGCTTCACAGCTCCTCAACATATGGACAAGATTTCTTTCAATATGGTCATGTTGGGGAATTAGCAACTAGTGTGTGTGGATACAAGAAATGACACTGCACACACACACACACACACACACAGACACACACACACAGACAAACACACATTTCTGTATGTCTTCACACAGAGACCATTTCATTCATATTGTTTATTTATCAGCTGACTGACTGAAACTGACCTCTACTATAGCAGTAAAAGACTTACCCACCCTCACACACACACACACACCTACGTGCTCATCTCTTTGAATAAACACCCCCCCCCCGATCATTTGCTGAATTTACACAGTTGATGTTGTTCACTGCCTTGATCAATAATTCAAACACTCAAGTCCCCTCTACTGCTAATGAAGCTCTTGTATTTATCCTCTCTGGACACACACACACACACACACACACACACTTGATCAGTCAACCTGCCAACATGGAGACCCACTGTGACAAATATGTGATGATGATGACAGAAATAGAATAGAATAGAATACAAATGAAGATGATGTGATGACAGTAATATGACACAGACATAGATGATGATGATGATGATGATGAAGAAACCAATTTGTGTACAGTTCTGCAGCATTAAAAAACGTCAACCAGTCTAAAAGTCCAGGACATTCAAAAAGTCCCAGGATGAAATAAAGTGTTGTGCAGATATGTTTTTATATAATTTTATTTCCTTTCTTTCTGAAGGTCTGAGTCTGAGTCTTTGTACAATTTGAATTATTTGAACAGAACAACAACATCTTTTTTTATCGGTCTATGAATATAAAAATGTCTTTCTCTTTTCTAGTTTAAAGGTTTTATCTGACTGATTCTTCCTTCCTCACCTAAAGTAGCCCTAAACCCTTCTCATCCTCCCCGTCTCGTTCCCTCTCTGAGCCTCGGGCCGTCACACTCTCATCTCTCCACTCCCCGTCTTAAACAACCTGCTGATTGGACTTTAATCTGCAACAAGAACTGCACCTGTCTCTGGGCTACACCGTGTTTGGCTGAGCTTCACAGGACTTTCAGCTGATGCTGTTAAAATGGTGGAAATGATTGTGTAGCTGGGTGGTGTCGACTCACGGGAAAAAGATAAAACTTCCATAGTGGGTAAAATTAAAAGCAAGAAAACAAAGTATTTGTCTTCTAATCTTGTAAACCTTGAACCCTAACATTTAGGCTTGAACACAAACTGTTCGAGACCATTTCAGAAAACCATTAAAATTCATTTTGTCAGTATTGGCATCTGAAAGACCTAATATTATGAAAAATAGCCTGATTCTGTTCAAGTTAATAAACTCATTTCTAATTTCTTTCCTGCGGCCTGGTACCAAATCACCAACGGAGCAGTCCTAGTCAGTGGACCTGGGATTGAGGACCCCTGGACTAGTGTAGTCAAGTGTTGTATAACAGTGAGATCATCAGTTCCTCCACGTTCTGTCACGACATTCTCCCTCCACAGTGAAATGGGACTTTGTTAATGTCCTCTAACAATCGATTCCTGACCCAGATCTGTCTCATTGGAACACACACTTTCATTTTTCCTTCATCTCTGTCATTGCATTGATTCTTTTAATGTAAAATGGACTGAATACATACACTGAATATATGTTAACGATAACTTTTGTTCTCATCAGGCATCGACCTGGAATTTGTTGATCCAGCTAATGCACAGTGGATGCTTGTTTTTCCCAAACCTGACCTTAGGTCACCTCTCAGACCAAAACCTTCAGTTCTATTTTTTACATTTTGTCAAATTCAACATTTGAAAAAAAACCCACACACATTATATCGCACTATAAATTGTGCAAAAGTTAAAACAGGAGCTGTGACAATGAGCTCATACTAACAGACCGACAGACTGTCCTTCTCTCGAGGACGACAAAATGTTTTCAAAAACATCCATACTATCTTATTTACCATCCAAACAGCGCTCTCACCCTTTTTTCCTCCTAATCAAACCCACGTCTCCATCTCCAGACAGCCGTCTCCGTCTGATTCATCTATAAAGACCAAACTTAAAGGAACCATCATCCTCTTAAAACTCCCTGTGTTGTCACTGATCTCTTGTCAGTCGCTCATAACTCCCTTCTTTCTCACATACAGAAAAAACCCACTCTTGCTGTCACTCATTTTTCTTGACGCAGAAAAATGTCCTAATGTCCATATGAACAGATGCTAATGCAGTTTGTTTTTCACTGCAGGGAGTTGTTTTTCTCTTTGTTTGCTTTTTTAATTGATCCAATATTTGTTGTTTCTGTCAGGGATCCTCAGCAATGTGGATAATTGTGGCCTCACAATAAAGAACAGCTTGAACGTTTGCTCAACTCTAGTGCTATACAAACAGAGGGTGCTGTTGATCACAGCCTAAAATAAATATAATGAGATCATTTAAACCATTCATGGACTAAAACATGTTTTTAAAAATGACCTTATAGGACAGCAGTGCAATAAATACAGTGACACACACACTGTTTACTCTTCGCTGTTATGTTGTTATGCATAATATTAATTTTTTTTTTTGTATTGTGGGTCTATGTATTTAAGTGGTAAAACTTGAAATGTCACTTTAAGGTCACATCCAAGGAAGGACATCTGTTCTACAAAGACACAAACAGCTCAGACTCTTGAGTCTGTTGGTTCTGACCCACATTTCAGCAGCATCTCCTGACAGCCTGCAGCCGCCGCAGGACCAACCCTGGCACATCTGACACAGCAAAGCCGTCGCCTCCCGTGTCCTTTCAGTCCAGGAGTAACTAAGGCAAATAGCAGTGAAACGCATATAGCGATGGACACTGACAGCTCGGTCCAGGGGGTTGTCAAAGGGCAGGGAAAGTAAAGCTAAGGAGAAGAGAACTTTGTTGAAGTGTTTATGTCTCACCTTTCCTTAAAGACAGGAGGAGAGTGTATCAAAAAATGAAGGATGGCTGACCCTTAGAGGAAGTGCAGGCTTTTAAAAAATATTTCAGTGATTAGCCATACTGTAGCTCACTGGAGCTACAGTATGTTACGCTTCATCTTAGGCTTGCATTTTGGTACTTTGGGGCAAACAGACAACAAAGGTCCACTATTGAAGAATGGTCTATGACTTTAGTATTATTTGGCTACCACATAACTACTTTTGAAGAACGTTCACCGATTCATGACTAACTTTTAGTCTTCTGGGAGATCATTAGCACGTTAGCTGCCCTGTGATGAACCAGGTTTTAAACTGTATCCCTCGATGGGCCCTGACGTGAGAGAGAAAAAAACCTAGACAACGTCAGACTTTATTCTTCAAAAATATCACAAATGTGCCTTTATGTTAAAGGCACATGGTGTGTTTGTGTATGGCCTTCCTGTAGTCCACACCTGTAGTCTGTGTTATACAGGTTGTGGTACAACTAAAGGGGGAGACTCAGCCAACAGTGACCACCAAGGCCTTGGTATTTGAGTCTGTGTGTGTGTGTGTGTGTGTGAACCCATGTGTTGCGTGCAGTGACAGCCCATATGTTTGCCCACAGTATCGAGCTCTTCCATCAGTCTACATTAAATCAGGACACAGCAGTCAAAGCCTCTAAATGACAGCACCCTTCATTACATAACATCAGAGCTAAACAGCACGGACACACACACACACACACACACACACACACACACAGTAACACACGTGTTCACAAATACACACAGCTATCTGTATGAACTGTAGGCTGAGTGTAAACCTGGTTTTCCCAGAAAGAAATGTTTGACATCATACAGTGTTGGTATTTCAATGTTGTATTGTTGGTGTTTGAAAAACTCTAGAATTTTGAGTCACCTTACAGTTTTATCTTCAAAGGTGAAGACGAAAGTAAAATGTTTTAGAGTTTAAACAGAAAGAATTTTCCTGGGATTTGCTAAAGGTTGAACAAAACACAATTTCTTGTAAGCTTGGGAAATGGCTTGTTAAATTAAACTTAACATTACAACTAACGGTCAACAATTGAAAATATCATATACCTAAACTACTTAAAGGTTGGTATGCTAATTCTGCTTTTAATTGCTAAAAAACGGATTATAATGGATTCATTATATTATTTTATTTCTTCAGGATAAATAGTTCTCCTCACGTTAGGTGGACCTAGTGCTGCCCCCTGGCTATCGGAACTGTTCACTGAACCGTACTCACACAACCTTAATTCCAGTGCTATCATTCTACTTGTTAACTGAACTATAAACCTCACTTCACTTCAACTGTCAGTATGTGTGTGTGTGTGTGTGTGTGTGTGTGTGAGTGTGAGTGTATGTGTGTACTGGTGTGTGTTAAGGTCACTGGTGTGTTTACTCTCTCTGTGTGTAAGTCCAGTCCCTCTCCAGCTGAGGGCATCTCATCAGACGTGACAAGTGTGACCTGAGGCAGCGCTCTCTGTTTCAGTTTGTTAGCAGAGGGTTAGTGTTGCCTGCAAACACGCACAACCTGGGTGTTGAAAGAAGAATGTGTGTGTGTGTGTGTTTGTGTGTGCGTCAGTGTCAGTGTCAATGTGAATTGCAAAACTTTCTTTTTAAACTCTGCCACTACAACATCCTCTAACTCCAAAGCAGGATCTTGTAAATCACCTGATGAAGCACTCTGCACCAGCTCTTCCTTACACACACACTTAAGGAGCAGGGATTTGTGTCAGCAGGCTAGTAAGTAAATGATTGCTCAGGCAGAGGAGTCTGGAAACGGTAAAGCTGTGAGATTTCCTAAATCTCAAAGAGGAGGAGGAGTAATCTGGAGGAAACGGAGGATCCACGGTGGAAGGGTGAGGGTTTCTATTTCACGTGTGATATCCTCAGAAATGAGGGTTTTTGCAGCTCATGTTAATGGAGAGGCAGTAAGATGGCTGCTGCAAGAGAGAAATGTCAAAGTCTAGGAGTGTGTGTGTGTGTCTGAATTGGGAGAATGAAATGACAAAAACGAAAGCACAGAGGGAGAGAGCAGGAGGGAAAGGCTGTGGTGGATGAAAAAGGACAAGAGTCATTAGTAATGGTTAATGACAGGAGCAAAGACGAAGCAGCAAAAAAAACATTTAAAAAGGAAGAAGGGAACATCCCAAATGTTGCCTAACACACCCACAGAGATGGTTATAGAGAGAAAAAAGGTTGCACCACCACAAAAAGATTCATGCAGAGAAACATGTCCACTAGTATGAGAGCTGTGGTTTGATCATCTGTCAGTACCTCTTAGTTTTAGAGAACATTTCATTTATGGCTACATTTTAGGATCTGGTCTTGATAAAAATAGACAATAAAGCAGAACAAGAGAGTGACATTTGAATTTAGAGCCAGGTTGTCCAATAGGAGCCAGATCATTGGAAACATCAGTAGAAATGTGTATAAAATGTGTAAAAAGGTGATTTAACTCTTAAAGTTTAATCATTTTATATTACTTCCTCTGGTGACTGAACAAAATTAATATGGCAGCAAAAATAGTTGGGTCAATTTGTTATTTTTTCTTTTTATTTCAAATATAAGTCATGCTTACAAGCAAAGCAGAAGACAGACAAGAAAGAGAAATCAAAATAATAAAAAAAACCAAAACAAAATAAAATAAAATAAAAAAGAATGAAATGAAGATATATAGTGACAAAGAAAACAATGGAAAACAAAGAAGCAGCAGTGGAATAAAGAAAAATGAAAAACAAAATTAGAAACAGAATAAAATAATACAAGCAAAATAAAAAAAGGCATAGGTTCATGTTTGTGTCATTGTTTCTGTTGTTGTGCAGTCATTGGACGATTCAAGTCCAATTAAAAAGGACAGCAGGAAATAGTTTAACATAGAATGACGATTAAATGTCAATGAAATGGATCAGAGCAAACTGAACAAGACAGGAATGATGTGGTCAGAATTAGAGTTGTGTTACCGGAGAAGGATCAGCAGTGCAAACACACACACACACACATGCAGGCATGTAAACACAGGTTAGTTGTCCTACAGCTCTGCACTACAGGCGTCTGCTCAATATGACTGTATTTTTGGTCAGAATTTGCAACTTTACAACATTCCATCAAGCAACTGGAAAAACATGCATGTAAATACTAACAGACACACACACACATGCATCAAATGCTACCAAATGTATACATCACACACACAGCAACAAACTTTGATCCTACTCTACCCTACTCTATTTTTTTCTACTATGTGAGACTATTTTCTAAATCACATTAACTACTACAGCTACAGAAAGTTCCTCACCTGGAATTGAGGTCAGCATGTCCCACTCCCACAGCTCCCCCTCCTGGTGCTCCACTGCCTCCACGGCTCTTCTCCAGGCCCAGTTTGGTGAAGATGCCCACCAGCACCATGATGGCCACCACTCCACAGATGATGTAGACGATGAGGTGTGTTCGGTCCCGATCCTGGTCCTCATGGCCCTCGGTGATGGTGGCCACAGGTTTGCCAGTATTGGCCCAAATGGGCGTGTCGTAGTTGGAGCAGATGGTCTGGTCCAGCCGCTGCTGACGGAACTGGCAGCAGAAGCGGTAGAAGCAGGTGCCGCAGCAGTACAGGAAGACACCAGCGTTGCAGTTGAACGGCGGGTCCCACTGACCCATCACGTCATAGTAGCCCTGGCAGCGTGTTCCACCCACCGGAGGACCGTCCTCATCATCAGCATCTCCTCCACTTGCTGGAGTGGACAACCCCGTCTCTGGAGGAGTGTTCTGGGTCGTCTCCATGTAGGCAGAGCTGGACTGGTTGGCCAAAGTGGTGGGGGCGATGAAGGCTTCAGTTTTAGTCGTACTCACAGTGGTGACTGCGTGGTCCTGGGTGAGGGTGGGCTGCGTTACGAGGAAGGGAAAGAAGAAGAAGTGGAGGAGAAAGTGGTAGGATGTAGGTTTGTTGGATGCCATGATGATGGAGAAGACCTTTAAACCAAGGTTCTGCAGCCTTACAAACAGGAAGGAGAAGAGTTTGGAGACAGATGAAAACTGAATTAGAGCAGAGGACATCGAAGGTTAGGGTCAGTATTTATACCTAAATTAGGAGGCAGCTCTACTACACCAACCACCTTAATGTCCTCCTTTACTACGTCAATCTTCCCTAGGCCCTATCTCCTCACCTTCTGCCTGGCAGCTCCGTCCTCAACATGTTGTCAAATGTATTCACCATCTCAACTGTGTCTCTAAAGTTATCTCCTGAATACCTACTCCTCTTATTTGTCGATTTATTATTCAGTCCATCCTGGTCACTTTTAGAGGAAGCTCTACCACCTACAGGTCAGTCACAGGTTTTCAAATCTAGTTCGTCCTAAAGACTGGGTGCAGAGGTGAAGACAAATTAATTAATTAATGACAGACATTAAACAAAACCATAAGACTTTATTAGAGAATATATGAACTCTTACTAACAGGATTTTCTATACAAGGTAATACGTGTATAAAACATGTTGGTAAAAAAGTGTCATGAATGAGTCACATGAGCTGCATTAGAGAAATAAATCTAATAATGATAACCAGGTATTATAATGTGTTTTTACAGTGATGACAACATAAGTTCCCTGTGGAAAAAAAACTGTTTCTAATGAACACAACACACAGGTATATTATAAAGATATGAATGTAATATGTGTATGAAAAAAGATACGTGTACTATTAGATCACATGATATGTATTAGTAGTATTGTCAGTAAACATGACATTTTATATGATATAATTATTTGTAAGTTACCTGTTGAGGTTGGGTTTACTTTAACTGAAACAGTGAACAGATTCACACACACACACACACACACACACACCGGGATGTGATGAGAGCCTGAGGTTTAAACAGATGATGTATCCATTGAGCTCCCGTACTTATGGGATCAATGATGGAAAACAGGGCAGAGGAGGTATTAAACAGGTCGGCCACGATCACAGACTGACTCCACAGTCAGGATATATGTAATGAGTTAAATAAATAAGTGTATTTAGTTCCAAAAAATATTAGTGAAAACTCCTTCAGTGACTCCAGTGAATGAGTATAGAGGCAGATGCTGGGAAGTTACTGAATTTCTTTAAAAAAAAAAAAAAAATGTGTTCTTCTTATTTGGAGACAAAATCATTGTTAAATCACTGAACTCACCCCTCACTTCTTCCAGACTTTGTTGATCCTTGTCACTGTTACTTCTCCAAAGGTCACCACAGGGCCAAAAAACACCCGTTTAAAAATGTCCACAAACTTTACTCTGGAGCATTTTGGACTTTCTCTCTGTGTCTTTCCTTCCTTTGTCATGTGTTCTCCATCATCAGCTGTGATCCTGGGAAGTCAAAGACAAATAGAAAAAAATGTGAAAAACGCTCCTCTTAACTCCTCCTGTCTCCTCCTCCTTTCTCTTCTTTCTGTCTCCTTCTCGTCCTAGAAGCTCTGCTCTTTCGGTGTCGGACACATACGTGAGTCCAGAGAGTGGTCCAGGACCGTCAGGAGTCCTGTGTGTTCTGTGGTGTGTGTGTGTGTTTGTGAGAGAGAGAGAGAGAGAGAAAGAGAGAGGGGGAGGAGAGAAGGGGCAGAGGGAGCGCTGCAAGAGTTCAGAAGCCAAATGTGATTTCCTCCTCCTCCTTCTCTGTTTACCTCCTCAGTGCCAGATACACAGAAAAAGTGTGTTCACATGTGAATATGTGAGTATCCAGCTGCATCTCCCATCATCCCCCACAAGAACAAAAACCTAGAAGAGAAAAAGGCAAGAAAGAAAGAGCAGGAGAGGGAGAGAGAGAGAGAAGACTGAAATATGGACAAAATCCATGCAATAAATCATTTTCTTGGCTTTTAGTTGTGCATGTGTGTGTGTGTGTGTGTGTGTGATTGGTTGGACAAAGGACAGTCAGCATCTGCTGTGGTCACTCCTGCTCATCTTACTTAACTCCTCCATCCTTGTCTGTCTCCTGATTTTCTTCGCCTCTCAATCACACACAAACACAGAACTGTGCACACACTCATACATTCATGCACCAGCTTCAGCCCCTCTCCAAACACTCCGTCCCTGAGCCCCTCATCTCCCACTTCTTCATCCTTTCTTCTCCCGTCTGCCTACATCTCTTCCCCTCCCTCTCCTGGTGCCTTGGGCATAGACAGCACACTTGTTTGCAAATTTTCTGTGTCGTGGAAGTGTGCATGTGTACTGTACATCGGTGTGTGTGTGTGTGTACATATGTGTGTGTTCTATTTGCATCAAAAACGTTCAGGAGTCAGTGAGGTCCAACTTCAGCTTTGCCTCTACTTTTGTTTGAATCCCAAGTTGAGCTGCTGTAGACATTGCAAAAAACCAGGACACACACACACACACAGACTCACACTAGCATGGAGAGAGAGATGCCACTCCTGAGACACCAATTATAAGAATTTCCTCACAGTAAAGGGCCACATGAACTGAGTTTAATGGAATTATAAGCCAGACTGACATTGGGCTTTTTGTGTTTCTGTTTTTTTTTTCCGCTTCTAATCGCCTCTTCCCAAAACCGCCCTCCTTTATATCTCCATCATTCCGGAGAAAACTCCGGAAAAGGCTTCCTCAACTTCCCTGTCATTTTCTCTGTATTGGTGAGCTGGATGTGGAGAAAGAGAGGGAGAGAGAGAACGAAGGAAGAGTGATGAAGAAAATGAAAAGAACATAGTGAATGTAGGGCAATTGCAGAGGGAGGGGGTGAAATATAGAAAAAGAAGAAAAACAAGGGGGGAGAGGAGAAATGAAAAGAGTCAGAGTGCGAGTGATTTTGTAGGGGAGATGAAAAGTAGGAGACAAGTTAAAGATGATGAAGACAAAGATGGGTTGCAGAATGAGAAGAATAAACACCACAGACTCACACGTCCATTTCTCTGACCCTCTCTTCATCCATGAATCCATCAATCGTCCATCCATCCGTCCTTTTGTTAAATTATGATTTATTTCATCAAATCCATTTTTAAATCTTACGAATCTTCACACTTGTATGCTGATCAGACCCTTTGTGGTGTGCGTGTGTGTGTGTGTAAGTGTGTGTGTATAAATGTGTGTGTTAACATGCAGCACCAGAACCACAGCTGTTGGTTACATAAGGTATTGATCACAGTCAGCTGTATTAAAGGTCAGTGAACCACATGAGAACCATGATGAGTTGAATTGAACTGTAATTTAAAGATGTGAATAATAAATAATAAAATAGTCAAACATTTGAAAGTTGAGCACAAAATTGATAAAAAAAAAAAAAAAAGAAAAAACATCCAAAGGTTAGCATTGAAGTAGCTTAATGGTCATGAGATGGCTAAAATGGCCACAGCTAGGAAAGAAGAAGAAACACCTGATCAGGTACAGTACTGCAAAAGTCTCAAAGTCAGTCACAGATTTAACCAAAACACAGTTCAAAATCAGTTTCCTTCAGTATTTTTGTCAGCGTTCTTGTGTGTCAACTTCAGTCGGTACTGTACTGTATGTTCTAGACAGTGTTCCTGAAACACTATTTTCTCTTGTATTTGTTACCGTGGTAAATGGTTTCACGTGCACGTGTGTGTGCATGAGACAAGGCGAGAACTTCCCTTGACACTAAAAAGCCGTGCTGTGCTGTGATCAGAGAGAAGATCCCTAATGAGTTGATCCAGGAGAGGCTTTGATGATGATCTGATCAGGGCATCATGGGAAATAAAAGAGAGGTGGAAGGGGAGTGGGATGTTTGGATAAACTTTCAACTTTTAAACTCTAAGGATGAACTCATCCTGTTACTTTTAGTTCCCGTTGTAACCCAATGGGGCCCATATTACAAATGGTTGAGGAAAGACCCAGGGTGTGGGTCACAAAATTAAAACCAACTTACTTACTTAACATGAACCAGAACTGGTTCTGATGTTGCTCACAACGGCCTGTTGTGGGTTTCAAGATTGAGACCTGGATTCAGCAAAACTACTAAAACACACTGAAATGTGTGGCTGTCTTAGTTCTGTCTTAGAGTCGTGTTAAGGTTCACAGGTCGGTAATAATGTGTGTGTGAGTGTGTGAACGGAGCATAAAGATCAGAGGTTACTCAGAAACATTAGTCAGCTTCCTGCACCAATAATTGATCTGGTAGGGCCAATCAACTTCAGTTTAATGTGTCTTTGAAGATGAACTTTCCATAAAAGATCTATTTTTACACACACACACTGCGGAACTGCTGCACTGTGGCTCCACCACAACCAAATTAAAAAACACAAGCTGTTTCCATTTCATGCTAATTCAACACGTTCAAACAGCCTCTGACTGAACATGTTCAGCTGATGTTTCTACAGTGGTTTCATTTAAAGTGAGGAAATAGGACTTTTTGTGTTTCTGTTTTTTTTTTTACCTTTTCCTTTCCCCTGTATTTACTCTTCCATGCATCATATAACCTAAAGTAAACGCACACCATCAGACACACACAGCTGTGTTAGTGCAGGGATGGGTGGCAGAGGTTGTGAAGAAGGGTCAGACGATTATAAGTTCAGCTCCTGTGGGACAAACAGACTGACCGCATACTGACTGACCAACAGGAAGCTGATTGATTGCAAACATCAGCCCATTGATCAGTGCTTATAGAGCATAATGTCATGCAACCACATTAGGAGAGGCTTTACATACATTTCTGTGTGGACTAATGCATCACTCACACAGAGCTGTCGTGACTTCAGTGGGCATTACATCCACTGATTGTGCAGTTAATCGAATGGCAGCAATAACAAATGAAAATGAAAGTAAACTCAATAAAGACTACATTTACCATTGTCCTTGCTGTTCTTCTGCACTCACATTGACCACAGAACCTTTGGACTTAGAGTGAATCTCTCTGTGCATTGAGAATTTTCAAAAACAGTATGTGTTCAGTGTCCAGTCAATCTCCATGTTAGTATTCTGACTGTATGATTCCTAGTATTCTTACTGACTCTGTTTGATTATGGTTTTACTCCTGCAAAGGCCTTTAATGAATACCAATTACATATGTTAATGCAGGCAAGTCTTTATCTGCATTAATAAGACCCTGCGCGTGTGTCTGTGTGTGTATGGGTCTTTTGTCCTGATCACATTGGACCAGATTCTAATATAAGGAGGTAAAACTCCAGGGAGCTAGAAAGGGTAATTACAAATTAAAATCACCTTTGGAGGTAGTGGGTGGGAGGGGTTTTCAGTGTGTGTGTGTGTGCCTTCATTTTGTTACCTGCTTAGAACCTCTTTCAATATATTATAGTAAACGAATGTTGATTTCTCACTGCAGTGACTCCACTGAAAAAGACAGAAAAGTTTAATTAGTCTGGAAATTAACTATTGATAAAAATAAATGGAAAATGACAACATTAATAACAATGATAAAAAATATGTCTCTATCATTTTATTGTGTGATTATATATTTTCCTGACATTCTTATGCATTCAATCCATAGCCAAACAAGTATAATGTATTTTTAATGTGATCTATTTCTGATGTAATATTATTTTATATATTCTCTAATATTTCTAAAGTATGCAGAAAATTACACTGAAGTAAAAAACAGTAAGCAGTAAGCTATCATTAAATTATACTTATTGTCACATTTAAGCTAACTTTTTACTATATCTTTGGTACATTATGGCTAGCTTTATCAAAATTTAACAAAAAACATTCCCTTGTCTGAATCTGTCCTAACTTTTAATCACCTTTTTATTTATTATGTCCTATTTCTTCCCTTTTTTCTTAATTGTTATTAGCCAAACATGATTAACATTTTAGTCTTTTGCTTCATGAATTAATTTACAGTAAACTATCTTTTTTTCTCTTCAACCCTATTTCATGACAATAGACAGTCATTAGTCCAAAATGACCTTTAAGTCAAAGGTCACTCAGCTCCATATTGATCTGTATCTGGCTCATACAGTACAGTCTGTCTGTCACCTCACCACTTCAACAGAGTCTGTTTAACACTGAGCCAAACAAGCACAAGGTCTGCACGCAACGTGAAAAAACAATGCACACATTGATTGTTGTGGCTGAGTGTAAACAGCATTCTGTTACTGTAGAGCATGTGAGCAGCAGTGCTGGAAAATTATAACAATTATTTTGACAATGTTATCCAACGTTGTTGCTATCATTTCACTAACAATGAGCTACTGCTTTATTTTAGGGTAAATGTGTACCTTTTTTCTGGTCTAATAAGTAACTTTATTTATGAATATGTTTTTGCCATTTTAATTTTTGACTACAGTATACATATGTGTGTTTTTTCAATTTATAGCTAAACTGTCATACTTGACGAATAAAATCCACATGTCAAAAGAAAGACAACCTATAATTTCTTTCAGCTTTACTGGGTTCGTCGTGCACTTCAGTATCAGTTCAGTTGGTCCAGAATAATTTCTGGTCAAAAGAGACTCTGGTTTTCCCCTCCTGGCCCTGAATGTTATTAGAGTCTGTTAGGTGAGTGATTAGTTGTGTTCCTCTGACTCTTTGGTTGCCAATTAGAAAAGCAAAGGCAAAGAGGGCAGCAGAGCCCAGAGGGTTGGAGTGAAAACACAGGACCATACCACCCACTACACCCCCGACCAACAGCCAGACACACAGGAAAATCATTAACTTCGCTCAGCCATAATAAACCTGAGTGAGAGGGAACCAGTGGGAGAGTGAAAAACTTCCAAAAACACTCAACTATTTGTTTGTTTGTGACACAAGTGTTTCAAATATACGAATACAAACATAAACGAATCAAACAATCTAGCAGCACGCTAGCAGGTTCTGTGTTTCTCTAAGCTTAAAAATGCTAATGTTTTCTCTGGACGCTGGTGTAGAAGAGGACGCTGTCAAAACGTGGCTTCTGGACGACGAATTAAATACGTCAACTGCTGCTCTTGTAATACCTCTTACAACTTCAGACCAAAAAAACTGGACTGTCCCTTTAAGAGATGGTGTACTATGTGAAAACTGGAAAGTACAAAGGTTACAGGAAGAGGAAATAATATATCTGCGTTTGGATGATTTAGACACAATGAAAGGCAAAGACGTGCAAGAGTATTGTTTCCAATTAGGCTGTGAGTGTGTGTGTGTGTGTGTGTGTGTAGTCCGTCCCCTCTGGACCTCACTGTCAGCACTGACCTTTACCAAATCAAAGGAGATGCAAATATCTAGCTTCATTTGGGTCCATTACAGTTGTGCAGGCACACACACCCACACCCACACAGAGTAGCCATACACCCTGTGAGAATAGCTGTCAGTCTTCAGTGGCCCTCTTTGATTAGTAATTTGAAGGGCCTCCCCCCCTGAATCTCCTCAGTAGATACAGATCAGTGGTGACGCTGCCTCGTCCATTAGCCTCATCAACTCAGGAGAGGATTGGAATGAATCTCATTTCCCAGCAGTCTTTGTGTTTGAGCGCTCTGCAACTGTCTCCACTCATGTCACTTACAGGAGGCTAAATTTAGGTGCTATTCTTTTTTAAATTCATGGTATATAAGTCAAATACGTTTAGTTCTTGATATAGTTTGGTAGACGTTTGGTCAGAGATCTACAGCAATGTCCTGACTGGGCTCTGACATTCATCAACATCTGGTATCATGACTCATCTAATCATCATACAGTTGGACGTTAGGATCACATATCACATTGGAGGAGGAGGATCTTCATCTTGTTCTTCTTCTGCATTTTCTTCCGTATGGTTGTTGACCACATTGAGAACTATGATAGCCTACAGATTACAGGTTATGGTCCAAACAACAGACAGTAGGCCATGTTGTAGATTTAACTCTGTCCACGTGGAAACATTAACAACTTTATTCTTGGATGTCATTAGAGGATGAAAAACCTTTGTTCCAACAGACATAAAATCCATTTTGAAGTGAAGACATTGATTTCTGCTTAACACAGAGAGTTTTTATCAACCTGTAGCTGTAAAAGGTCGAGGTGTCAACGCTGTCATTGTCCAATCACAGAGCAGCTTATGGATAAAGAAGAAGGTCAGCCATCTTTTTTGTAAAGTGAATTTGTACCAGTTTTTTAAATTGTTATGGATGAGTTTAATATTACTATCATGGATTAACATTCATTTTAGGCAGCATGGTGGATCAGTGGTTAGCTGCAACATTACAGAGAAGTCCTGGGTTTGAATCCACGATGGGGAAATTGTCTTCTTTTTTAGGTGTGGTCTGTTTTTATATTTTTAAAAACCTTTATGTCTACTGCCATCGCAACATACAGTGTGTAGCGACACCTGCTGGTGGGTCTGCAATCGTATGATGATTTCTCATCACAAATAATCTAGGTTTGATTAATAATTAACTTTTTACTTCACCAAGTAAGTGAAAATTGTTCCACGTTTCAACACAGTTAATATGTTTTGGGGTATTCATGGGTATTAATGTTAGAAAAATCATTACATGTCTTTGCAACATCTACAGTATCTGTTGTGTTCGGGACACATACCTCTGTTTCTTTTAGTCTTGTCTCCAACAGTCCAGGCAATAGAACCATTTCCACCACAACAGTCCAGGCAATAGAACCATTTCCCTTTACCCAGGTTTAAGACCTTACCTGTGGAGTATAAGAAACTTCAGTTACATTTACATTTGAGAAAATTAACAACAAAAGCCGAAACTGTCACGTTTCATGGCTGGAAACTGGGACGAAAAACGTAAACACACAGAAAAACATAAGAGCACTACAAACAGGTCCAAAGGCTCCAGGGCCAGAAAAAACAATTAGTTGATATTTTGCTCATAGTAATAACCTAACTTTGTACCTATGGGTGGTCTCTTTCGCCGTCCTTTTTCTTGGAGTAGCCTCATATCTTCTCGTAGCATTTGCAATGCTAAGCAGCAGCAGGTGAGTGGCAGCAGCCAAAGTTGGTGTTAATAGGCAGCAGCTATTTTGGAAAGTCCTGGTGCAGGAATCTCACTGAGGGAGACACCAAACTGTGGAGGAGACAACATTCACATCAGCGACCATGAGAAGGACCTGTCTGTCTCTTTGTCCATCACTGAATTGTATACGTAACTGTGTTACTTGAACATGTCTGACAAACCACTGAGATGTTAAACTCAGTGATTACTAAAATGTTTTCAGTGTAATTCTAAAGTAATTTACAATAATAATACATAGTGTTTGTTTCTTTCTTGTAGGGCAGAGAGCGTGAGACCATTGTATATTTTTTTATTTATTTTATGTCCAAAATACTTTACTTTCATTACACTTTGTTAAACAGTTAATCATTTTAACTGACATTGATTTTTATATTTTATGACGTGTGCTGCTGACCATGGCCAGGTTACGATGTAAAACAAAAACTCTTGAACTCAATGGGTTTCATCTGTTTACATAAAGAAAGGGGAAAATGGGGAGAGAAATAATGTATTAAACATTAAAATATAAAATATATTTGACATTTCGAATAAACTTGTCCTGATAAGAGGGATTTCTCTTAGGTGAGAAAGTGACGCAGGGGAACATGTTTTAATTTTTCTGATAAGTACACTACACAGCCGTTAGTCCGTTCTAACGTTCGTGTAACTTGGTACGTTTTTGGACAGCGTAGCCAAGCAAATGTCAGGGAACTCTACCACTGGAAAACGCGCCCATAAAAACAGACCAACACCGTGGTCATGTTTGTTTATGTTTGGAAAACCCTTGGCGGCGCGAAATTAACTTTGAACCCAGTACTGTCCGCTGGGAATGAAGCAGAAATCAGACCTTAAATCAACAAAAGTACTCACATGACATTTTGCCAGCTTTTGGTTTTAACAGTATTTTCAAAGTTGTTACTGTAGATATCGTCGATGTAGGCCCGCCGTCTGCGCATTAGCATCAGCAACTACGCTATTGCTAAAAATGACCAATCTCATGTGTAACGAATATTCACTTCCATTTCCCGATTCTATAAAATTAAAATATATAAAACGCACGAAAATACAAACTTTAAATAATCACTGTGTTTTCGCGCAGTAGCGAAGTCATTCTTTCAAATCCATTCTTTCTCACGGGGTTAATTAGTTCTGACGTTGTTCTGCTACAAGGACTACTGTTTTTCTTCGTTTCCATTTCCCCTGAAGTGCTCTGGCGCCCTCTATGGGAGACAAGGCTAATACTTCTGCTCTAGTTCATTCAAAATGTGGAACCACTTGATCGTTGTCCCACATTTTAATCACTAGAACCTGGTCACCACATCACTGACCTGTGTTCTTATTGATGGTGATGCACATACATTAGTTACTGCAGTTCTGGGTTTACTAATATTATGTCTCTATACTATAAATCAGACCAGCAAGATGCAAACAATTAATAGACCTGAGGCTCTGTTTGCAGGTTCTTCTCTCTGTCTGTCTCTATCTGTCTCTCTTTTCTCACCCACACTTTCCAAAACAAACAGGTGAACAAGAAAACAGTTTTGAAATCCCTTCACTTCTCTCCCCTCCGTCTCACCCTGCCTGTGTAAATGTCAGCCTCCTCATCCTCCGCTGTCAGAGACACAGCAGAAACAGCAGGATCCTCCCAAAACTGACTGCTCCTCTCACATCATCACCATCACCTCACAGGTTCACAACAAACAGCAGACGAAGGAGCAGAGAAACACGTTCTCTGGGAGACGCAGTTGAATTGAACATGCCGCTCTAAAGCCTAAGACTTGTATAAAAATGGGCTTTTTTTGCAAAAGTGGAATTGAGATTAAGGCAAATGTGAGCTAAAATGTATAAAAACAAATAACTACCAGCCTGTGTTAAGTGCTGCTAGTTAAGAAACTAAGTCAAATTTACCAAGAATATATGTAAAACAGAAACTAAGTCAAATTTACCAAGAATAGTTTTACATAAGCCAAAAGCAGACAAAAACGACCTCACATAAAGTTGAAGTACGGATAACTGAATTAATTTTTGAAAGGGAATACTGATGTGCATCTGTGTTTAAAAATGATTCAACGTTAACAGAATCACAGGCAAGTCTAAAAGTGAACACAGGACGTGTAGAGAACAAGAACAAAAATGTAGAAAAACATCATTCGGCTGGAGATGGCGGTTTTTGTTCAGTGCTCGTGTGGATAAAGCTGTTGCGTGACTGCAGGCTGTGGGGCGCTGAGCTGCTGCTGGATCCTGAGGAGGCATCTAGTCCTGGTGCTGGTGCTGCGGTCCTTTGGAACTCACTGTAGTTAATTAGTGGCATGGCCTCGGGACTTTTATCTACTCTGTAACTGGAAGAGGAAGAGAAGTGGGGGGAGGGAGTGTGTGTGTGTGTGTGTGTGTGTGAGAGAGAGACAGATCTATTTGCATGCATGTGTATGTGTGTGTGTGTGAAATCAAAAGAAGGTACTGAACTGGTTGCACCTTTGTGTGCCTTGGATAATATATCTGTGCGTTGAGTTCAGTATGTGTGTGTGTGGGTGTGTGTGTGTGCTTTAATGTTATATAAAACAAATAATACATTGTTCCTTATACAGTAGACCAAAAAAACAAAATGTTTCCAAAAATATATCCAGACGTCTGGTAGGAAGCTGAATAAACAAGAAAAAAACAGGAATTAAACTGTTGCAGCCAGAGGGTCATATGAGCTGTTCTTCTACAGTCCACCTTGTCCACAGTGAAAGTGAATTATTTGTCACAGCTCACCACTGCACACACAACCAGATGTGACCTCTGTTTTTAACCCATCACCAAAGTGAACAGTGGGCAGCTTTAAGGGGGAGCAGTGAGTGGAGACGGTGTCATGATCAGAGCACCTTAGTGGGAACTTGGCATACACATACATGTGTGGCAGAGTGGCGCAGTGGACGCATGCTGGGCACATAACCCAGAGGTCGATGGATTGAAACCATCCTCTGCTAAGACTGTCCTTCCTCTGAATGCAGGTGATTTGTGGAAATGAGTTTCCAACATTGCTTAACGGCATCTTTAGACAGTACTCGACTTTATTGATACAGTCCCTAATTCCAGCATTAAAGTATGCTTTATCTATGTCCTGGCACAGATGGGGATACAAGTTCCTGTGTGTGTTTGAAGAGTACTGCAGCTCATCAGGGTCTTTGAGCGCTAATAACGACCAGCTGAACGAGGCTTTGAAAGACATGAAAGACTGTGATGGGTGGGTGTGGGGGTTGGGGGGCAAGGGGAACGTTAGCTGGATGTTGCACACATGAGACAGAGGAGAAGGTTAAGAGGTTCCATCGTAATCTCTGTTCAAAACAGAGGCTCTCTGATCACCGACACCTCACTCAGTGGTTCTAATCCAGCCTGTCTTCTGAGGTTTACACAGACCTCTCTCTGCCTAGTGGACCGAGCCAGTGTTTCTTCTTCTCTGGTCCAGAGAAGCTGTGCTCCACGTGGCCTACACTGCAGACCGGGCCCCACCTCACATAAATTAGAGCGTCACATTTTATTTTATCCGCAGGTTTCATTTGAAGTTCCTGTGCATCGCATCCCTGAGAAAACACAAGTGAGTTAATTGGAGTTTCAGCCACAGGCTAATTAACACAACATTTCAGAACCAAGGCCGAGTTCCTCCACATCCAACATGAACATCCAATGTAAATTTATGAAAGCACAAAGCTGGATTATTTCTGTAGCAGATTACAGTGTATATGAAGAATCCAGCTTGTCCAACCACAAAACTTCAGGATTTCAAACCTTTCAGTCTTCAAACCTTTGTAGAAATGTCCATCCAGGCTTCTGTATCTGGAGGGACCATTTCATCTGTGTGGAATATGACAACAGAATTAATTCAACAAATGACAAATGGCACGGCCCTTTCACAGGCAGCAGAGTGGCGCAGCGGGAGCGTGCTGGGCCCATAACCCAGAGGTCGATGGATCAAAACCATCCTCTGCTAAGACTTCTTCTTCAACACGTTAATATAGCAGAGCAGCTAATGGAGAAGAGAAAGAACATAACTTTACCAACGAGCTCAAACTACTAAGAATTTGTAACTTGCTATAGTGATTGTGAACCAACAAGTATACTAAATAAAACATTTTACTTTACAGCTGGATCTAACCCTAACCCAAATATACATATGTATTAACTGTTCATTTTAGCTGTCTTTTTGGCAAACATTAGCATTGCCCATTCTATATAACCTCAAGATATTCCTGTGTTTACCATTAATTTGATCCATCCATCCATCCATCCATTTTCATCCGCTTATCCGTTACAGGGTCGCGGGGGCAGCAGTCGCCACCCAAATCACATTGCACCGTACCAACCCCCTTAAACCTTCCTGCGGGTGGTGAGTCCACTGGAAGGTACCAACTGCCCTAACCGGGATTCGAACTTGCCCAGGAGGTGAACCCTGGGGTTCCACACCAATGACAGAGACATTGCCTCTGGGCCAAAGCGCCACCCATTAATTTGATTCTGGCATGTATTTTTTTTTCTTACCAAATCTTTACTAATAATTTGCATCTAAAGAAAAGGATATTTTCTATAGGATATAACAACAAATACACAGAACATAAAATATCAACAAAATAATGTGGGAAAAACTGACACATCACCTCTGAGTTATTTTTTTATAGTATTTTTACTGACACATCACCTCTGAGTTATTTTTTATAGTATTTTTATTATTTTTTTTACACTTTTTTTTTCTTTAAAAAAAGACGAGACCTCCTTTTTTTTTTTTTTTTTTGAAGCCTCGGTCTGACACCGTGTTTCCCAGCCTGACAGCTCCATTCTAAAGCAACCAGCGAAGAAAAAAATAGTCATATGGACAATTGATAATATACACCCCATATACAGCAATACATAGTGGTCTACCATAATGTTACCAATAATACGTAGCCTCCAATAAGGCTTCAATTCAAACTGTTGCCACAGATACGGTTGTCCCCATAGCAACTGTCAACCAATAATGGTTGGAGTCTTTTTTTTTTATTAGTGTGGGCGGGGTTAAGGTGACTCTGGTGAGGTGACATCATCACCACCAACACATCGACGGCTCAGCTGATCATTTCAACAAACTGCTGGTGGTTTTCGATTCATCCTCCCAGCTAACAGCTCTAACAGTCTCAGCTGCTGTAGCTGCTGACCCCAAATGCCCCCTATTTTATTAAACCATTCAGATTCAGCATAAGTGCAAAGTTTAGGAGGCACTGACACATGCTTCGCCCTCTACAGGAGCCCAGGTGAACAACACCGGGACCCCTGTCAGTTCCCACCTGTCAAAACCATTTGCCAAGGATTAGATTCATGGTTTTACAGTAATGTGTCTTTTTTTTTTTTTTTTTGTGAGCGCTAAATAAGGTTTGAAGTTGCTACATAGCTAACACTAACAGAAGCGTTGGAGAAGTACATTTGGCATCAAACTCATTATAAACTAGTTTACAGAGTCCCTGTAGTGCTGGTTAAAGTTTATTGTTCTAAAATAATCTTCAACAGTAGTGCAGATGAAAAGACGCCAGCACTGCAGTGTGTATATGAATCTGGGTGCACCAATTATCTGTGAGATAATCACTTGTACATACAAGATAACGACTTGTATGTTGAAGATGATGATTTTGTGTTCAAGATAATAATTTGAACATACTTTAACGTCTGCATATAAGATAATGACTTCAGGGATAATGACTGATATATTCAAGTCAATGACGTACACATGGTCATGGTTACATAATGTGCATTCAAAACATGCAGTGTGCACAAAATATATTCAGGACCAATCAGCACCAGTCCAAGTGCACAAGTATTTGACTAATGAGCACAAGATGTGTTGAAGGCTAAAAGCTTAAGTTATAATCTTCTGTTTACATTTATAAAAATGAGAAAGCTCGCTAAACAGGCTTTCCCGGCCCAGCCAGACCCGCCTGGTCGCTCTCCGATGAGGGTAACTGCAGCTTCCTGTTTCTGTTTATACATTAGCATTAGCTACGTAGCAATCGTCAAACCAACACTTAGCTCCTCAGGAGCAGGTGATAAAGAAGTTCAAGACACGAGAGGATTTTACGTGCATGCTGCGGTAAGAATCCCCGTAGAAGTAACAGTTCACACTAGTTCCACCAGGTTTAAGTCCCTTTCTTTGACCTCACCGTGCTCTCAGTGAACCCCAGTGAAAGACAGAATCGTGTGTGTGTGTGTTGGCATATGCCAGTGACCCCTGCAGTGATAGAGACAGCATAGAAGAAGGTTTCTGTATGTGCATGAAGTAAGAGACAGAGCCTGTACGCAGTGTGTGCGTGTGTGTCCCATTGTTACAAACATGACTCCCAGTGCAGCTGCAGGTCTGTGCTGTCCAGAAAATCTGCAGAGAAGACGCTGGGAGGTGTTTGAGGGGCCAGTGGGGCCAGACTGGTCCCGCTGTCACCTTCGTTAACACTGCCTTCTCCCCCTCTCCCCAATCCGCCGACCGTGTTCCCACCAGCAGTGCTTCCAACCATGGAGATGTCCAGCCAGTCCATGCTGTCCAAGGTGGGGTCGCCAAAGTCCAACCCCGTAGAATGGGGGGAGAAGCCCAGGTCGGATGTGTCCATAGGGGAGGGAGGGTGGTCCAGGATGCTGGGTGTGCTCAGCATTTGGCTGTGGAGGTCATCGATGAGGGTGAGCCCAACATCCGGCTCCATGCCCAGAAGACGGGTGCCGGTGGTGCTCTCCAGGAAGTCCTCCAGGCGTCCACTTCCTGTGCAGCGCTCTGTCACTGAAGACTGAGGAGAGATAATAGGCTGTGGAGGTGTGGGAGGAGAGAGGTGAAGGGGAGATGGTGGAGACGAGGGAGATGGAGGGTTAGAGTGGAGGTGGGCCAGGGAGGGGTCCGGGTTGGCCTTGAAACCTGGGATTTCTGTTAGAGGAGATGAAGACTGAATTAGTGCTGGAGCTCCAGAGTCAATGAGGAGTTGGTGTTTGAATTCTTGTCAGTTTTTTCCCTCCCCCTTTCAGCGGCATGCAAACAAGAGCAGGATGTCAAACAGGTCGTCCATCTGCTGACTGTTCACCCCGTTGTCCTGGTAACACAGAAGAACATGTTCAGGAACACATTTCTATGGAAATTTGTTCAGGACTGTAGACTAATTTCAATAAAACTGCATAAAATAGTAGATGTTTCAGAAATATAAAATATATAAGGAGTGTGTGTGCGCGCGCATGTTGAAGTCACAGTCAGGAAGTCACGCAATATAAACAAAAACACAAAAGTCACAGATTTGTGCAGGAAACAGGCGGAAAATAAAAAGAAGGACGAACACTGAAGGAAGGATGTAAGGAAAAAAGACATACTTTGGAGCGTTGAGTAGGAAGGGAGATGTTGGGTTTGGGAGAGGGAGGGGTGAAGAGGGTGTGCCGGTCGTAAGGAGGACACAGCTCCTCACTCTGTCAGGATGGAGTAATGAAGTAATGGAGTGAAGAAAAGACAAGAAACAAGGAGAAAAAGTTAACGGAGTCTCCCTGCTGAGCAGTGGTGATGATGTCACTGAGGATTGTGGGAGAAAGAGGAGGTGGCAAGCGTGAAAACCTTGAGGGAGGAGATCAGGCTGCTCTGGCTTTCGCTCTCTGACAGGTCATCGAAGAACGGCTGCAGGTTGGGAGGAGCAGTGACTGACTGAGTTGACTGTGGAACGCCGTTAGTTTCCAGGTGTAGCGCCACCTTCTGTCCCTTAAGTGGGAAAGAAGAGAAAGAAAATTTAGACAGACAGGTACTGAACAACAAAATTCCTGGTCTACTAAAGTATGCGGCGACATCTTGTGGCAGAATGATGGTACTGCGTTAGTGTGGGCAATGACTGTACATTTTGTTATTACTGGACTGTGGGAAAAAACTGTGGGACCACCTGCACAGACACACAGCTTCAAGAATATATAGTATATTGTAAATAATCTATTCTGGGTCTTACCTTTTTGATTGGTTGGCTCACAGGCACAGGCTGAGTTGGCTCTTTTGATTGGCTCTCAGTGCTGGGCAGTTTAGTCGGGGTGGACTGCAATCTCTAAGATGAACAAGAAACAGAGGAATGTTTGAAATTCATCACCTTAAAAAGACTGCATAGAGTACTAAGAATTGAGCCTGAGCTCAGGCTGTACTTCACCTGCAGTGTGATGCGTCCGTTGGTTTTGGCCAATGAGGACACTCCATTCTGTCCCTCTGTTGCCTGACTGGTGAGAGCAATTAAATAGTGGTTGCCGTTGCTGTCGGTGACCAGTGTTGGGGCTCCGTTGGCCTTGAGCAGGTCTAATGAAATGGCCTGAGTGTGGACCTGAGTGCCGTTCTGTTGGTTGATGAAGACCGGAGTCACCTGGAGAAGGGAGGACAACAAAACATGTCTTTGTTGCTTTTACGGAGCATAGTTAAACATCATCGGTCTTGGCAGTCCCTTTACCTGTTGTGTGGCCACAGCCGTCGTCTGTTGTTTCTGCTGCTGTCTGTGCTGAGCTTTCAGCTGCCTCCTCTGCTGGTTCTGACTGATTGCAGGCTTGGTCTGGTTCTGGATCTGAACCTGGACCTGCTTCACCTGAGGCTGGTTCTTCTGCTGGCTCTGCTGAACTTGCCCCTGCAGCTGCTTGAGCTGGTTCTGCTGCAGCAGCTTCTGCTGGGCCAGTTTCTGCTGCGCTAACTTCTGCTGGGCCAGCAGCTGCTTCTGCTGCGTCTGCTGGATGATGAGCTGCTGGAGATGCTGCTGCTGCTGGAGCAGGATCTGAGCTTCCTTCTTCTGCTGTCTCTGAGTCGGGTTCAATCTCAGCTCTGACGCCTGCTGCTGCGTCTGAGGGTGCTGTTGTTGTTGTTGTTGTTTGGTTTGTTGCTGTTGCTTCTGCTGCTCCGCTTGTTGAACCTGTAGCCGGTGAATCTGCTGCAGCCTGAGCAGAGTTTCCTGGGAGCATTGCATCGGCTGGACCTCCTTCTTCGTCTGGGTGTCATCCGTTAGTCCCTCCATCTCTTCCTCAGAGTCCTCCTCCTTCTTAACTGTCACAACAACACCATTAGGGAGAGTAGGAGGCTGAATGGCTGAGGCTTTGATCAGAGTCTGGAGTTTAACTTCCGTGTTTGATTTGACCTCATTTGCATCTTTCTTCAAAAACACCCCACTGGTCACCTTCCCCTGCTCCAGCTGAGACCTGAGTGTCTCCACAAGCTTCTGCTTCTGCCTCAGCATCCTTGTTAACTCCTCAATCTGTTTGTCCTTCTCCTGGAGCATCTGATCCTTGTCCACCGCTGCACTTGGCAGAGACTCTGGACGCTGGGATGAGACTGCTGCAGACATGGACAGACTGCACGGGCTCTGGATTTCGTCTTTGACCTTTGAGAGAGAATTGGAGAATGGAGAGATAGTTGACGAGGATTGTGGGGACTGGTGCAGCGTAAGCTGGGTCAGCGGAGAGCTCACCTGAAGATCAAATGAAGAGTGTGTTAAAACAAGATGTTAAATAAAAAGAGACACTGAATCAACAGCTTCACACCTCATGACCTCACCATTTCTCCAAACATGTCTCCATTACAGCTAGTTTCATCTGGACTCATGCCAGCCAACGACCTCTCTGAAGGTGAAGGCGACACAGGGGGGCTGGAGCTGGTGCTGCCGAACCTCATGACTCTCCCAGGAACGGCATGAGCAAAAATACTGGAAGCTAGTAAGACTTTGGTCTCTGACGACGGCTCCGGTGTTACTGTTGTGTTTGAAGAGGAGGTGCTGGAGCTAACTGCTGCGTTAGCTCCCTGCAGGCTGGGAAGCACCGTTCCACTTTTCAGCGCCACAGTGGTTCCGCCGTTCTGCTCCTGGTAGTTACGAAGCCTCTCGATTAGGTCGTTCTTGGTGCCTGAGACTGTGAGACCACGTAATTTCAGTTCTTGTTTCAACTCAGCAACCTGTGGGATGGAAAACCACTTGAATTAAAACACATTTATTTTCCATTACTGCAGTATTGTTGAAACATTTCCCGACCTTTGGGATCTGCTGACGTCAGTCTTTTTTATCTTACTTTAAACTCGTCCAGGTTGGCCGGCAGAAAGCTGGGTTTGACTCCTCCTGCAGCAAGCTGGCACTGACGGGCAGCTGAACTCTGGGCAGAGGGGGCTGAGGTGGTGGTGGTGGAAGGAACGCTGCGGGAGGGGGAAGGACCAGAGCTGGTGGTGGGGGTCTGTTCTGTCGTAGGCCTGGGGAGAGACAGAAAATGACAGAGTATGAATGTGTTTGTCCACAGAACCGCAGCAGATCCCTGTGATTAGAGGCTAATGATATTAATACAGGATGGAAACAGAAGGTCAGTGCAACCTGTCCACCCCACAGGCCACCAGACCAAAGTCAGTTTTATGACTCCAGCCAGAGTTTGTACTCACTTGGGAGGGGCAGGCAGGATGGTGTGGTAGTTGTAGTGCTGCTGTTGCTGACTGAGGATCTGCAGCTGCAGGAACAGCTGCTGCTGCTGGAGTAGCTTGGCGTAAGACGAGTCCATCTGCGGTGGACGCTCCTTGTCTGCTTTCTGGTCTGGAGGGATGTACTGGTGATACTTGAGCTTCTTCACCTGGACCAGGCAGAGAAACAAACAAATCATGGACTTTTAAAATTGTCATCAATATTTTCAGGTTAGTCTCACTGAATTGTTTTTTAAAAAAACTTCAGCATTTGGTTCATTTCACTGTGAAACCCCTTAGTTAAACTCTATTTCCAGCCAATAACATCTCTTCTGGTTAACTTCCCCGACTCGTGGTGTGGTTGCAAATAATGTGGCATCTTCCTCTTTTACATGTTTTTTTTCTGGGTGATTGAAAATTAAAGGTTAAAAATTTCTGCGGAGGCAGTTTCAGTTTTTATCATTAGGTTGAAAACTGTGCTATAACTAAACAATGACAATTCATTTAACCTTTAGAAATCTTAATTCACCTCAAATTGTATTGTTTTACATGACCAGTATCTTGTGTCAGTGTCTGTTGGAATAAAAGAGTGCACTGACCTTGGGTTTGCTGTCCTTTGATTTCTTGGGTCTGTGTGGAGGACGATCTGAGCTCGTCTTTGTCTGACGCCAGACAATGAGAAATAGGGTCACGGGGAGAAGGAGGTAGAGGAAAAAAAAAAGGAGGAGACGAGGGAGGGTTAGTCATTTATAGCTGCTCCACAAAGAGAGAAGAAGGTCACATTTATTTAAAAGCCATCAAGTCAGCAGGATG